CCTCTTTCGTAATTTAAGGACAGTACTTGATCTGGAACAGCTTGTGTGTGTATATTACGCTCAAGTTTATTCTCGACTCAGATATGGTCTTTGTTTTTGGGGAAGTTCTACACTTTCCTCACAAGTTTTCATTGCCCAGAAAAGAATAATGAGATGTATGGTTGGGGTCACAAGTACTTATTCGTGTAGAAATATTTTTAAGAGCCTTAATATTTTAACTTTACCGTGTTTGTTTGTCTTTGAGTTGTGTTTGTATGTTTTCCAAAATAGAAATAAATTTACATTAAATAGTTCTGTTCATCAGTGTAATACAAGGCAAAGTAAATACTTTCATGTTCCATTTACTAGAAAAAAAGTAATTTTAAACTCTCCTAATTATTTAGGATTAAAAATGTATAATAAACTGCCTGACGAAATAAAAACGATTAATAATGTATTTTTATATAAGGGTGCATTAAAAGCGTATTTACTTGATAAGTGTTATTATTCTGTATCAGAATTTTTAACAGGTGTATCTTAGTGTGTAAGTGTTTATGACAATTCCTATACATGTAATATGTCGAACGGAAATAAATTATTATTATTATTAAGTCTCGTTGGTGATATAGTTATTATCATTACTAAATTGAATAAATCATTTCCAATTACTTGGTGTTTCTTTACTGTTAGTAAAGAACCGATTGAAATTCAGATATCGAATAAAATTTAAACAGAAGATACGTGTAGTAATGCTGATCGATGTGTAATAGTAATTGAGAACATTTACTAAATATTTAAACATGGAAATCAATTGCTTCATGAACAAAATGAAAATTTAAGAAGAAAAACAAGATAGACTGATAAGTATTATTTATTTTTAAGAAGAGTTCCTATTATTTTTGTAATATATATTTACTTTGCTGTACTTGTTTGTTATGAATGAATATTTATTTTTATTTTAATTACAAATAATTTCGTTTTTTGATTCAATTAATAAAATATTGAAATTTTTGGTATATGAACATTTTATTTTTTATTTATTTTTCTTCAATTGTATTAGCTACTTCCCCGCTAACACTGAAATATTAAAAAAACTCGGCCACTATATTCAGGTACATTAATTTCGAAGTATTTTTTACTCTTTCTGTTTGTTAGAGTAAATCTATTTCATCGTCACTCAAAAGTTTAAGATACCGCGTTTTTTTATATTCCATTTTTTATTACCACAAGAAGAAATAATGATACAAGAATTACTATTTTTTTTAAGGGAACTTCCTGTATAAAATGTGACTATTTTTTACTTACATAAACATAAACCTTATTTATACGTTAATATTAACAAGATCACGTCATAAATTCCTTGAAAACTAATTTGTTTCTTTCTACGAACACCAAATTCTTCTCGTAAAGCTAATATTTTCTATTAACTATTTAGTTTAATTTTTTATTACTGTCCGGATTGACATATTTTCATTATTTATACAATTCAAAGTAGCTTACATTATTTACTTTAAAATATTTAAGACTTTACAAAAATGACACGATTGATTTTTAATTCAAACTGCCGCTTTTTTTATCTCCCCTCTCCAAACGGTACACACGGTACACTAGCGCCCTCTTAATATGGTACGATATTGGTTTACATGGAGTTAGAGCTGCTTGATCTCTGGTTAAACCCTTCACAAGTTTTGTTTGGCCTTTTTTTTTTGTTATTACCATAGCAACACCAGTGTGAGGGACGTCATTTTGAAATTTTTAAATTGTCAACTTCTAAATGCCTTGATCGATTTCAAGAAAGGACCGCCCATTTTAAAGAACTATTAATACAATTTATTTTTATGATGTGGGAATAAAAATATTATTTTCCTGCGCAACGGTAGACGACGCTAATCAGAAAAGTTTTGTAGTTGTCTCCGTTTACTAAAAAAATTTAAAGCAACGATAGAGGTTTTTTTCGTGGCTTGATAGACTATTTATTAAGGAAAACAAATACACAAACCGGATGTCGATATCTTTTTTCATTTTCAAGTTATTGCTAAAATAGTGAAGTTATGCTAAAACATCTTCTTTTATTTAGTTCTCTAAATAACATTGGCATGTTTCAAGCCAAAATCAAATTGCAAAACTATACCAAGCTTTAATTTTTTTTATTAATTCCAAATATCTGAGTGTTTATAGATTATTGTTTCCATAACGAAGCAGGCTATGTTCTATGAAAATATAGAAATGAAAACTGACGTCAAACGATATGCGACAGCTCTTGCTTCGTGCAAAATTAGTGTCATTTGTGTGAGAAAAGTACCTGTGTTCCATATGAAATTCCCGGGTATCTAATTAATTCCCTAGCAAAGTGTATTCTCTTAAAGCTACAACGGCATTTTCCAAACATTGAAAATAAACTGCCAACACATACGCTTCCACATCTGTAAAATACATTTTCCTTGTTCACAAGTACTTTTCCAACACAAATAACACTAATTTTGCACGTAGCAAGAGCCGTTATATTTCGTTTGATATAATTTGTCAGTTGTCTATTTTCATAGGGCATAGCCTGCTTCGTCATGGAACCAATAATCTTTAAAATACTCAGAAATTCTGAATTAAAAAAAAATGAAAAATTGTACCTATTAAAAATTTTAAAAATAAAGCAAGTACTTTTTAAGGACAAGCTTGGTATAGTTTTACAATTTAATTTTGGCTTGGATTATTTCAACGTTATTTGGAGAACTAAATAAAGGAGGATGTTATAGCGCAACTTCAGTATTTTAGCAATAACTTGAAAACGGAAAACGATATCGACCGCCGGTTTGTGTATTTGTTTTAATAACTGTTCTATCAAGACATGAAAAAAAAACTTATACCGTAGCATTTAATTTTTTTTAGTAAACGGAGACAATTACAAAACTTTTCTAATTCTAGATTCGTCTACCGTTGCGCGGGAAAATAATATTTTTATTCCCATATAATGAAATATAAATTGTATTAATAGTTCTTAAAATGAGCCGTCGTTTCTAGATATCGATTAAGGCGTTCAGGAGTTATTGACTATTTAAAAATTTCAGGATGGCGTCCTTTATACTGGCATTGCTATGGTAGTAACAAAAAAAAAAAGTTCAAACATAACTTGTGAAGGGTTAAACAGTGTATTTAAAAAGTGTATTTTCAACTGAGGTTATACAGGGTGGCGCGCTTAAATGTAATAATTTTTTGACCGATTCCAAATTTTTTTTTAGAATGTAGGATAAAAAAAACTAACTGTAATGCTGTCGTTTTTATTAGTGCAATTCACGGCCAACTAGGACGCGTTTTTTGACGACAAAAGAGCTAATTGGTATTAGTGCTAGTCCAAAATCACTTGTCGGACTCGATTTCGGTCAGGTTTTCGTGGTGCAACCGAGTATTTCAAGGTACGCGTTACGTTTTCTTCATATACACATATTTACGATTAGTCTCATATTATGCACAACGAACAAAACGTAATAATTCACACCTGCAAACCTTTTTTTGTTAATCAATTGAGGGCTCCTCAAAGACTCCTTTTTCTGGGTTGTTAGTAAAGTACACCGGTACATTTGCATTTAAGAATTCTTTATGCTTCAACATGTGACGTTGGATACCCCTCCTGTATTTAGTTTCAAAATCGCAATCATCACACTTATACATTTCCACCTGCGAAGGATCTTTATGTTTCAGTTGGTGACTTTTGATAACATATTTATATTTAGTTTCGTATGTACACTCGTTACACCTGTACATTTTCACCTGTGAAGGATCTTTATGTGTCAATTGATGCTTTTTGAAATATTCTTTGTATTTAGTTTCGTAATCGCAGTCTTTACACCTGTACAGTTCAACCTGAGAGGGATCTTTATGCTTCAGTTGGTGCCGCTTGACATGTCTCTTGTGTTTAGTTTCAAACGTGCAGCTGTCACACTTGTACATTTGAATCTGTGAAGGATCTTTATGTGTCAGTTGGTGTCGTTCGGCATCTTTCCTGTATTTAGTTTCGTAACCACAGTCGTTACACCTGTACGTTTGAACCTGTGAAGGGTCTTTATGTTTCAGTTGGTGCTTTTTGATATTATACTTGTATTTAGTATTATAATCGCAGTCGTTACACCTGTACATTTGAACCTCTGAAGGACCTTTATGCGTCAGTTGGTGTTCTTTTATATTCCTGCTGTATCTAGTTTCGTAATTGCAGACATTACACCTGTATATTTGAACCTGTGAAGGATCTTTATGCTTCAGTTGGTGCTGTTTGATATAACTCTTGTATCTAGTTTCGTAATCGCAGTCCTTACACCTATACATTTGAACCTGCAAAGGATCTTTATGTTTCAGTTGGTGCCGTTTGAAACAACGCTTGTATTTAGTTTCGTAATCGCAGTCTTTACACCTGTATATTTGAACCTGAGACTGATCTTTATGCTTCAACAGGTGCTCCTGCTTGGTTGTCATTTCTGATGCATTCTCATGTTTACATCCATCTTCTTCTTCATTTTTACAGGCATTCTCCTCGAAGGGTACGTTATCGGAACTCTGAAGTGGCGTGTCTCTGAAAAAATTGCACAAATCAAGATTTAACTTTTAGTGGTTATAGGTGACACATTCCAAAATGTTGTGTTTTACAAAAAAAAGACTAATAAACGGGCATATTTACATTTGAAGTTAATGAGATATGATTATTAAGTAATTATACATTTGTACGACTGTACCGGTGCTTGCTGTCATTTCTATCGTCGTTACTCTTAGACTTTGTTGAATTATGTGTTATTAAAAAGGATAGTAACTTCCAAACATTTTCATAAACAATCAATTATAAGTTTATGAACTCCACAAGGCATTATTTAATTTTTACTATGTAACAATTTTTATGTTGTTCAAATAGTGTAATAACAATAACAATAATAATAATAATAATAATAATAATAATAATAATAATAATCTTTATTTTCAAGAACAGTTACATAGATCCAGTAACATTAATGAAAATAACGTCAACAGAGCTTTGCTATTACAGCACTAACAACTTTACAACTATCCATATAGAAAAAAGAAATACCTATGTAATAGATTTCAGAGATCAATTCATCCTTACAAGCTATTATTATTAAAATACTCATTTACAGTATATGGTTCCAGATCTATTAATAAATTGAAAATTTTCTTTTTGAAAATTATTATATCTGTAATTATTCTTATATCAGCAGGCAAGTTATTATACATTTTAATACAATTATAAAAGGCACCTTTTTCTGTAACTGTCAATCTGTGTATCGGATAGGAATAATCCTCAGTTCTGGTTTGATGGTTATGTTGTGAAGACATTTTTGTGAACAAATGCCTGTTTTTTACAAAGAATAATAATATTTCTTGTATGTAAACAGCTGTGAAAGTTAAAATTTTATTCTCCTTGAATTTCCCCCTGCTCGATTCTCTACTCTTCATTTTTAGGATTATTCGTAACAAGCGCTTTTGAATAATAAAAATCCTTTCGGCATCTGAACTACTGCCATAAAAAATTATACCATATCGAAACACAGATTCAAAGTTAGCATGGTAAACTATTTTCAATGCATCTCGCTTTATGTATTGAGCTATAATCCTCATTGAATAAATTACATTATTAAGTCGCATAACAACATGTTGGACATGGTCTTTAAAATTTAGCACAATGTCTATATAAATACCAAGAAACTTAGTACTATGAGTTGAATTAATTGGTGACATTGTAAAATTAATATTTTGTATTGTTTCATATTGAGCATGTGTGGTTTTAAATAGTAATACTATTTAACCTGTTTTGTCCTTATTTAAGATCTGTTTATTTTTAGTGAACCATTTATTTGTTTCAGATAATATATTATCTGCATCTTCCAATAGCTCAGTAAAGCTCCCCCTGCTCATTATTATATTGGTATCATCTGCATAATTCACAATATCACACTTTCTATTTATGTTTATTACTTCGTTTAGGTCATTTATATATATTATAAACAAACTACAGTAATAAACAACAAAGTAAAAAAGCTGGAATAAGACAAGGAATTTAGATTTTGGACATTTTATTAATAAAAAATTCAAATCAAACAGTTGTGACATTTTGGTAAGGCTGTAGCTGACAGCCACCAGGTACATTTGCCACGGCATAACAACCCAAGGAATCATCGTACTTTAAACCTATTAGGTCTAGTAGTCTTTTGTATTGTAACACACAACAAAATTCAAATACCAATAACGATTACCCTATTACTCTTCACAATGTTATCCTTAACGATAATTGAATCAACGGTAGTACTAATAGCATAATTTTAAATTTAATGATGAACTGATTCAGATTTTTGATAACAAATTTAATTATTAAATTAATTAAAAGACATTAGCGAGATGCTATCTATAAACCTGAAGTTCCGAACGTTCATTTGAAAGAAAATGAAAACCCGTACTATCACGTTTAATCTTATTTAAAATGATTTTACCAACTAAATTCTGACTTCTGTAAACGAAAACAATACTTCCCCATCATCGGAAGCCCCCCCCCCACCCCACATATTCAACACCCTTAAAACTTAGTTACATGTATTTTAGAAAATTAACCACGTACCACCCTATATTTGACATAGGTTGTTAACATTACTTTTATGCTGATTTTTAAGAAACATTCGGACCATTTGTCACTATCGGAAGACACCCTGTCAACAACCCCTAAAACTGTCATTACTTATATCTCCAATCAAGCTTAAAAAGCCACGTTAAATTTGATTTAAAAAGTTTACGTTTCATTTATATCCATTTACAAAACCTATTGCCGCCCTTTATTGCCACCGGAAACTACCCTATCACTATGAACAACCCTTGGAAAGGCAAGTATTCTATTCCAAATATCAAGCCTGCTATCACATTAAATCTGTCTTAAAATTTTACGATAACATCTATATTGATTTATAAATACTATTACTACCCTTCATTGCCATCAGTACCCACCCCGTCAACTACCCTTAACATGTAATATCTTATATCCCCTGTATAAGGCTGAAAGCCATAATAAATTTTAAGTAAATTGTTAAAATTATATTTATATTGACTTATGACAACTGTTAATACCCTTTGTTGCCACCGGAATCCACCCCATCAACAACCCTTAAATCAGTTGTTTATTATTTCCCTGTTGTCAAATATAGGGTGGTACTTGGCTAATTTTCTAAAATACATGTAACTAAGTTTTAAGGGTGGTTAATATGGGGGGTGGCTTCCGATGATGGGGAAGTATTGTTTTATGTATCAAGGGCAATCGAAGTAACTATCGGGAAATATAACGAGCCTTCAAAATAAAAACGTGGTCAAGTTGGTTCTGAAAATTTGGACGTAGGGCGTAGCGTATTAGCAAATGAACGTCATCTGTCAAAGCGCTATATCGCCGCTATCAATTTGAATATTTTCGTTTTAAAAATCGTTTAAAATGGTGTTTTCTCAAGAACAAAACGTGTTTATCATAGAGTCCTACTTTAGAAATGGACGCAAGATTGATGGAATATGGAAGTATTCTATTGAGGAATGTTTCATAGAATTTCAAAATCAATTTCCCGGCATTGTTGAGTACAAAATATTTCAAAGTGCAGTTCAGCGCTGTGTTAATGTTTTTCGTGAAACGGGCAGTGTAACAAGAAAAGAAGGTAGCGGCCGACCTAAAAAGCGGACTGAAGAATTAAAAGAAAATGTCCAACAAATAATGGAAAATGCGCCAAGAACTTCTGTACGTGTTTTATCACAAATGGTGGGAGTATCAGTCGGTACCTGCCACACAGTGTTAAAAAAAGATTTGTGTTTGTTCTCTTTAAATTGTTTGTTATTGTTATCACGATTATTCTTTAAAATAAAGTTATATAGTCATTAACGTTATTGAAACTGACAGCTGCTATACAGCTCGTTGAGAAATGAGGTTAAGTTGGTCGCTATAAGCTACTCCCTACGTCCAATGTGTCAGAGCCAACTTCGACCACGTTTTTATTTGAACGCTCGTTATATGGATTTTCTGTATCCGCTGATATCAAAAAAATTTTTCTAAATTCGTCAAATGTAATTAAAATGTGGATTGTAGTAGCCGTTATTTTTTTAGTGTTTAACTTCGTCAAAAGAGATGAAAGAATAAAAAATACAAAATACTTCTTTGAATGATTATTTAACACCTTCGATGTATCAGGTATGTCTTTTAGCCTTAATTATATGTAGTCAAATCATTTCTAATTTTTATTTTGGATAGCCATGTATTACTACCCGATACTAGATATGACTGTGGTATATTCGATGCCAGTTGGGGCATGTAGTCCATAAAATAGTCGTTTCCTACAATATCAACTGATAAGAATCTTTTGCATACCTAGATTTCTGGTAACGAAGAATATTGTGTGACTTTATTTGATAAGAATTTTTAGTTTTTTTTTTAATTTGAATTAAGTCAATTCCTTTAAAATAATGTGAAAATTAAGAATGGTTTAATACGTGTATAAATGAGGTTAAACTGGTTTTCTTCTTGCAATCTGCTTACATAATCACTAATTGTTTAATTGTTTTGTGTTGTCTCGGTGAGAGATCTATCATTTCCATTCAAAAAAAGTATCGATTTGTGCCCAAAGTTAAAGAAATTTTTAATGAATAAAATCTAGTATAGCATTCTTTGTACCAACATCTGATTTAAAGCGATACTGATTGCTTTATAATGACCTTACATTTTGTTCCAGTAACTTTTAATGATTGTATAAAAATTTGTACAATATACAGTTTATTGCAGACAAAATCGCATAATTTGTTACAATTAGTTATCACCAGGTCGTACGGTACGTATTTAATAATATAAATCACGACAGTGTCAAGATTACCGATTGCCATTTTTTAAATTAATGGTAAATCAGTCTTCTCTTACCCCCTGTCCTCAACTTCCGACTTTATGTCGATACTTTCAACTTTGATGGACATTTCCATCTCATTAATATCGAATTCTTTGTCCAAGTTTTCAGTTTTAACCAATAACTCAAGTGAAGACATATCTATTTGACTTCCTGTGGCTGAACTATCAAAAGTACTTTTAATTTTTTCTTCTACCACTGAGATATCTTTTAGAAAACTGTTGTGAGTACACAGAGAATCGAAGCATGGCTTACATACAACGGGATCTTTGATGATATTTATATTCTGCAAAGCAATTTTGTTAAATTACAAAATATACAATTATTTAATATGACATACCATTTCTGGAGTCAATTTCTGAATAGCTTCAAGTTCCACTTCACGTATGCACATAAACTCACTTGCTACTGGCTGCATACACAAGCGACATATTTTCTGACTGCAAACTAATTCACTTTTCTTTTCCTGCATGTACACATCTCTTAAGTCGAGCTGTAACATTTTCTCGCGATCCACATAAGGAATAATTGCCTTATCGGTATTCATACATGTTGACTTAAATTCTGACGCCGAATTTAACTTTCTTCTGCAAACGTTACATATAACCTCCTTGCTATCGTTATCAAATTTCTGAAAAATGTGCAACTTTAACCAGAAAGGAAATAACTGTGGCTTTAAATAACAATTGAACACTAAAAGTTGCCTTACAATTGAGACTGTTAAAACGTAATCTAATTATATTTCACCGACTTACAAATTTCAGCAAAAGAACATCTAGCATGTCTCTGATACCGTTGTCTACCACTTCAAAACCTTCATCGGTTATATATTTAAAGCAAAGCATACACGAAGTTCCTTTAACATCAGCCATTGCTCTTCAACAACCTTATTTTTAGTATAAAAAGTACATAGAGACAAAAATATAGTGCCGCCACTTCTAACCTTTTTGGCTTCTTCTGACAGCTGACAGCACAGCCAGCAGCCGAGCACAGTCCACAGAGTGTAGTTGTGGTTAGTAATAGAGATGGGAGAAACGACACTGAACACTGATCCAGCTCACTGCGCTGGCTCTTCGAACTCGGACTGGTCCATGTGAACCTGTTCCTTTCTGAACTGAATTATGCAAAAGGGAACTGTCACCATTATATGTTTTGTGACTCACTTTTCAGGGCACTTAATGGTTTTAAGTTTAACAAAATACATCTGTTCAAATTATAAAGGTACATAAGCATTGGCCCGTTGATATTTGGTATCTACCAAATGTCAGATTCGATTCGAATCGTTTTATTAATAAAATGCCATTCTAAAGAATCCAATACTTTCGAGATCGATCCAACAAAACGAAACGAAATCAAGAGCACTTCACCCGTACACGCCTAATTCAAACAGTACAGGTGTCCGGTGTATTTGAATCAAGCGTTACCTAACCTTAAGAGTATAGCACTAGATAAAAGATAACAAGGTCGTCCGCCATTTTGGATCCCACTTCGTCATGTTATAGTCATAGATCACGACGAACCGGCGAAGCAAGAAGAGCGCCAGAAGAAAGGGTCCTAGCCGGCGGGGCCCAGCCAGGATAAAAGGAGGTCACACAAAGCGTCTACACCGGCCGCATTTGCGGTCGGGGTAGACGACGGATGGGGCCCACCTACGAAGGCTGTCCAGGCCTACACGAGATGAGGCAGGATAAAGAGGGATAATCCCCCTCGATTCCAAATCATTGAGGCCGATTTCTAGCCATGAAATAATGGCGCGCGACAGTAGATACGTTCACTCGTCTGGTAATCGGGTCGCAGTGTACCGCAGAAGGGAAGGAATAATTATGACAAATTCGGCTCATTGAAGGGGCTCCCTATAAGGATCCGGAACCGGTGAACCGGGTCAGCAATATAAGCCAGAATCCGGATTACTCATCGCTTATTAGGAATGTTCCATTACATATTACTCATTTACACTCTCAATAAATGTCAAGCTTCTAGGCACTGATTTTGATTCTAAATTGACTTATGATGATCACATTGACTACGTGTCAGAGATAAATGATACTGCTACGTGTATAAGCAAATGAACGAAGCACATTTCGCATCATTGCAACTAAAAACTTCTCTTTGTATGTTAAACGCATATTACACTTTAGCAGATCATATCTATCGTACAGTATGCTGGGGTTGTGGGAGAGAAATAAATCGTGTTTTCATAGTTCAAAAACGATTATTAAGGCTAATATATAGGGTAGTGCCCAAAGATTTATCTACATCTATCTATCTTCAACACAAAAAAAAAACTGCTCATCGTAACCGTCGCCATACATTACTTTTGCTTAGAAAAATTAACTTCTTTTTAAGACTTGCTACACATCATACCGCATTTTTTTAACGCTCCCCAAATTACAATGCCATTGTTGTATTCGATAGGCTGTCAAACAATATAAAAACTATTTCCTCCTACAGTAAATTAAAAAAAAAAGAATTTTTATTGGATAATGTCTTTTACAGGGTGTTAGAATATCTTAAATTTTAAAATAATAGTTGAATTATTATATTTCTGTTTGAAATTCAAGATGCTCAATTAGTTTACTTCCTTATTAATGTAAATATTTTATCCTTCTCAATTGTTTTATTTTTAACGCGTCTTATTTTAATGTGTATTTACAAACTTGAGTTGCCATATATACATATCAGTGTATCCAAAATGGTGAAAAATAAAAATAAATAAAAAATTAAAAATATCAGCTCCTAAAGTTTAAGAGATTGAAATTGGGATGCCCTGTATAATTCTTCTCCCAACCCACAAATGTGAGAATGAAGTCAACAGCTTTTTGTTATAAACAATCACATATTTTTATTTTAAATTATACCCTTCAATTAATTACATGTTCTACACAGCTGACAATATCGCTGTTTAAAACTAATGGACACGCTTAGCAGACTATCAGATTGTGAGAAACGGAAAGTGAGGACATAACCAGGTATTTGAGAATTCTACAAGTACTAGTCCAACTTCAGTTGTCGGCCTTCGTTTCGGTCAGGTTTTCCGAAAACCGTTTTTGTGTTTCAACCAATGTATTTCAAGGTAGCTGTTACATTTTCTTCATATTCACATATTTACTATTAGTCTCATATCCAAACTTGTTGCACTTCAATGCCTTCATTTTTGCCAATATTTTGCACAACGAACAAAAGGTAGTAATTCACACCTGCAAACCTTTTTTTGTGAATAAATTGAGGTCTTCTCAAAGACTCCTTTTGCTGGGTTGTTAGCAAAGTACACCGGTACATTTGTATTTATGAAAATTCTTTATGGTTCAACATGTGACATCCGATACCCCTCTCGTATTTAGTTTCATAATCACAGTCATTACACCTGTACATTTGAACCTGCAAAGGATTTTTATGCTTTAGTTGGTGCCACTAGATAATTCTTTTGCGTTTAGTTTGATACGTGCATTTGAATCTGTGAAGGATCTTTATGTTTCAGTTGGTGTCGTTTGACATCTTTACTGTATTTAGTTTCGTAATTACAGTCATTACACTTATACATTTGAACCTGTGAAGGATCTTTATGCTTCAGTTGATGCTGTTTGATATAACTCTTGTATTTAGTTTCGTATGAGCAGTTTTTACACCTGTACATTTGCACCTGAGAAGCATCTTTATGTTTCAGTTGGTGCCGTTTGATACAAGTCTTATATTTAGTTTCGTAATTGCAGTCTTTACACCTGTACATCTGAACCTGCAAAGGATCTTTATGCTTCAGTTGGTGCCGCTTGATATTTCTCTTGTGTTTAGTTTCATATGTGCAGCTGTTACACTTGTACATTTGAATCTGTGAGGGATCTTTATGTTTCAGTTGGTGTTGTTTGGCATCTCTACTGTATTTAGTTTCATAATCACAGACGTTACACCTGTACAATTGAACCTGTGAAGGACCTTTATGTTTCAGTTGGTGTTCTTTCATATTCCTGATGTATCTAGTTTCGTAATTGCAGTTATTACACCTGTACATTTGAACCTGTGAAGGATCTTTATGCTTCAGTTGGTGCTGTTTGATATAACTCTTGTATTTAGTTTCGTAATCACAGTTTTTACACCTGTACATTTGCACTTGTGAAGGATCTTTATGTTTCAGTTGGTGCCGCTTGATATAAGTCTTGTATTTAGTTTCGTAATCACAGTCTTTACACCTGTATATTTGAACCTCAGACGGATCTTTATGCTTCAACAGATGCCTCTGAAGTAATTTCTCATTTTCACATTTACACAATTCTGAATCATTCTTATGTCTGAAACAGTGTGCTGTAAAACGGACCTCGTTTAAAGTTTCGTAAATGCATTTATCACATTTGTAGAATAATTTGCGTTCCTGCTTGGTTGTCATTTCTGATCCACTCTCATGTTTATATCCATCCTCTTCTTCATCTTTACAGACACTATCCTCGAATGGTATGATATCGGAGCTCTGCGGTGGCATGTTGCTGAAAAAATTGCATATACAGGGTATTTTTAAAAATCAAGTTTTAATTTTTAGGGATTATAGTTTATCACCAGATGGTACTGTATGTATTTAATTATGCCAATTTTTAATTTAATGTTAAAACAGTCTTCAATTACCTTCTTTCCTCATCCTCTGATTTTATGTCGATAATTTCAGCTTTGATGGACATTTCCATCTCATTAGTATCAAATTCTTTGTCTGACTTTTCAGTCTTAACAATTAAATCAAGAGAAGACGTATCTATTTGACTCTCTGTGGCTGAAGAATCAAAAGTACTTTTAATTATTTCCTCTACCTCTAAGCAATCTGTTAGAAAACTCGTGTGAGTACACAGAGAACCCAAGCATCGCTTACAAACAACGGGATCTTTGATGATATTCATATTCTACAAACCAGTCTTGTTAAATTACAAAATATACAATTATTTAATATCACTTATACCATTTCACGAGTCGATTTCTCAATAGCTTCAAGTTCCTGTTCACGTATGCAACTAAACTCACTTTCTACTGGGTGCATACACAATCAACATATTTTCTGACTGTAAGGAATATCAACCAACTCGCTTTTCTTTTCCTGCATGTATACTTCTCTTAAGTCAAGGTGTAACATTTTTTCGCTATCTACATACGGAATAATTAATTGTGTTATCAGTATTTCAGCAAAATCACATCTAGAATGTCTCTGATACTGTTGTCTATCACTTCAAAACTTTCATCAGTTATATTTTTAAGGAAAAGGCTTCACGAAGTTTCTTTAACATCAGCCATTGCTCTTCAAAAACATTATTGTACGAGTATAAAAAGAACACAGGGACAAAAATATAATGCCGTCACTTCTAACCTTTCTTCTCTACGTAGTGGCCCAGACTAGAAAACTACTAGTGGTCCGAGTGAAGTGAACTACAGTGGTCAGTGGTTCTCTGTGTCTGTATATGGTAGATTTTTATATGAGCCTTATTTTACAATAGAATTCGTCTACATAAAGGAAGAATTCTCTGAATTGGTGCTCTGTGCGCCACTTAAAGTCATTACAGGCTATGGAAAACATAGCCCTCCGCACGGCCACCGACGCGCCCTGGTACGTAAGAAACACTGACATATTACGAGACTTACAATACACAAACGCTACACAGACAATAAGACAAAACGCGGAGAAACGATTTGACGTAGCCGCTAGACATGACAATCCCCTCCTCAGGCAAGCCGTTGACTACGTACCCGACGTGACCGACAAACACAAAAGACCTAGACACCAACTTTTTGACCCTGGGTGACCACCCCAATGACCCCCCCCCTGCCCGCTAACCTTTTCTGTTTCAGAGACAGCCAGGATCAAGAAACGAAGACAACGACACACACACACACATACACACCCCCCATACCCTCCTTAACCCTCCCCTCCCGCGCTAGCCTAAGGGCCACCTTAGCAAAGCGCATCCCAGGCTGCATAGCCGCACTACCCTACCCAACCATACCACACATAAACATGACACTACCCCCGGGGTTTACACAGACGAGCCGGCGAAGCAAGAAGAGCGCCAGAAGAAAGGGCCCTAGCCGGCGGGGCCCAGCCAGGACAAAAGGAGGTCCCACAAAGCGCCTACACCGGCCGCATTTGCGGTCGGGGTAGACGACGGATGGGGCCCACCTACGAAGGCTGTCCAGGCCTACACGAGATGAGGCAGGATAAAGAGGGATAATCCCCCTAGATCCCAAATCATTGAGGCCAACTTCTAGCCATAGAATAATGGCGGCGCGGTGCTCTGTGCTGCTATCTTAGAGCATATACTACTGCAGGTAGCATGCCATTGCGAAAAGTGTGGCCAAGTGTGCGAGAGAGACACAAACTATTTGCAGTCTCACTCTAACATTGATTTCTAACCAATTGCGTGTGCGCTAACACACACGCAATTGGTTAGATATCAATGCTAGTGAGACAGCACCTACTGATAGATTGTTTGTCTCTCTCGCAGACTCGGCCGCAATTTTCGCAATGGCACGCTACTCCAGTAATCAATTTGAGTTCTCAATTTATTCACCATTCTACAAAAACGACTTAAATAGTAGAAAATTTTTATAAAACCCTAATTTATGATGGGAAGCTGCCACAGTTCTGGCGGGCGTTTATTTTTTACAAAGTGTAGGAAGATCTCTCTGAGAGGCTATTTCAGAAGACACAAGATATTTTTTTCTAAAACTTTATTTTTCCATAGAAGCATAAACGTACAGAACATAATCTCCATTTTTATCTAACCATAAGCTTAAGAACACTGAATATCTTACACCAGTTGTCTTCCTCTTCGTCTTCGACTAAGTAAATTTGTGCGGAATTTTAATTTTTAAAACAAGTTACTATAAAAGCTAGCTTTGTCGTTTATTGTTCAAATGTTTTGCCGTTTAATATATCTGTGGCTCAATGTGGCCACACATAAAGCCACATTAATTGGAATCTATATTCTCAAGTTTTAAATATGTTACATTATAACGTTGTCAGTAACTCTTTGGAGCGATAAATAGAATTTTATAATTCACAAAGTCCCGCTACTGTTTCTCGTCTTCTGTTGCAGGGTGCCAACGAATGTCCGAAGTCGTGAAACGAAATCAAGACAGTGTACCCGCATTCTCTATACTGACTAATAACACATTCGGAATACAATCTGCGTGTTTTTATTAATGTCCACTTCGCTTATGTATAAAGTTAAAACAGTCCAATGTAGTACATATCGGAACAACTACATATAACCTTAATATGTAGTTAGCATAGGATTTCTGTTCTTATGAATCTAATTTGCAAATTAAATAAATTATTTAAAAATTAGCCAAAACAGTAATCGTTAAGAATAAAGGAATATTAGAGTAGAAATTTTAAATTTTCTGATAGGTAGTAAGGGGGAAATTTCTACACCATTGAATCTTCCGCACTTTTAATGATTACTAGAATGTGTTTGTAACAGAACATTTCAGTACATTTTTTTTTTAAACGAATAGTTTTGGAAATATTTTCGATTTATTAGTATTATATTTTGTGTTTGATAACATTCTTGTACAGGGTGCCCCGAAATTAATGCAACAAATTTGGTCACAGATTTTTAAAACAAATTTAGGGGACCCGTATTTTTATTTTTTCCAAGTGGCCCTCTCTTTCGGAGTTACAGCCCCCTGAAATCTGGTCCTAAAAATAGTCTTTTTTTATATCTCAGAACCCCGTTGTATGAGAATCACTAAATTTGGTACACAGGAGCTTTACGACATGTGTAATCTGATAGTGCTATGCATTTTGGTGGGGAACTCCCTTAAGTTAATTTTTCGTTGGCCCCTTTGTCTTTGGAGCCAAATAAACTTGGTCGCATATTTAAATTTCTTAAAAATATTAGTCCGTAAGAAAGCCATTAAATTTAGAAACTTTTTTGTCTCTTGATACTTTTTTCGTAAAACGCAATGTTTTTGAGAAAAATGTCAAAATATGATCGAATTCACATCGTGATTCAACATTTTTCTTAAAAATATTGGGTTTTACCAAAAAATATCAAGAGACAAAAAAGTTTATAAATTTAATGGCTTTTTAGCAAACTAATAATTTATAAGAAATTCAAATATGTGTTGAAATTTTTTATGCCTAGCACCATCAGATTCCACATGGCATAAAACCCCTGTGTACCAAATTTAGTGATTCTCGTATAACAGGGTTCTGAGATATAGAAAAGACTATTTTTAGGGGCATATTTCAGGGGGCTGTAACTCCGAAAGGGGAGGCCACTTGGCAAAAATAAAAAATACGGGTCCCTTAAATTTGCTTAAAGAATCTATGGCCAAATTTTGTTACAAGAATTTCCGGACACCCTGTATATAGTTTTGTAATTGCAGTTGTTACATCTCTCCATTTGAAACCTAAAGGGATCTTTATGTTTCAATTGGCGTTCTTTCAAATGCTTCCTGTATTTAGTTTCGTAATTGCAGTCGTTACACCTGTACAGTTGAACCTTTGGAAGGATCTTTATGTTTCACCTGGTGCCGTTTGATAGCATACTTGTATTTACTTTTGTAATCACAGTCGCTACACCTGTATATTTGAACCAGTGAAGGATCTTTATGTTTCAGTTGGTGTTTTTTGACAGCATACTTGTATTTACTTTCATAATCGCAATCGTTACACTTGTACATTTTTACTTGCGAAGACTCTTTATGTTTCAGTTGATGCCGTTTCATATTAACCTGGTATTTAGTTTCGTGACCGCAGTTGTCGCATTTGTACATTTGAACCTGCGAGGGCTGTTTATGTTGCAGTTGATGCCTTTCAATACCATTCTTGTATATAGTTTCATAACTGCAGTCGCTACACCTGTACATTTGAACTTGTGAAGGATCTTTATGTTTCCATTGGTGCTGTTTGACAGCACACTTGTATTTAGTTTCAAAATCACAATCATTACATTTGTACATTTGAACTTGTGAAGGATCTTTATGCTTCAGTTGGTGTCCTTTCAAATGTTTGCTGTACTTAGTTTCGTAATCGCAGTCGTTACACCTATACATTTGAATCTGTGAAGGATCTTTATGCTTCAGTTGGTGTCCTTTCATAAGTTTGCTGTATTTAGTTTTGTAATTGCAGTCGTTACACCTGTACATTTTCACCTGCGAAGGATCTTTATGTTTCAATTGGTGCCTTTTGATAATATATTTGTATTTAGTTTCGTATGCGCAGTCTTTACACCGGTACAATTGAATCTGTGAAGGATCTTTATGTTTCAGTTGGTGCTGTTTGATATTCATCTTATATATAGTTTCGTAATTGCAGTCGTTACACCTGTACATTTGAACCTGTGAAGGATTTTTATGTTTCAGTAGGTGAAGTTTGATATGAGTATTGTATACAGTTTTGTATTCGCAGTCATTACACTTGTACATTTGAACCTGTTGAGGATCCTTATGTTTCAGTTGGTGCTTTTTGACAGCATACTTGTATTTAGTTTCGTAATCGCAGTCATCACACCTATACATTTGAACCTGTGAAGGATCTTTATGCTTCAGTTGGTGTTCTTTCATATGTTTGTTGTATTTAGTTTCGTAGTTGCAGTCGTTACACCTGTACATTCGAACCTGTGAAGGATCTTTATGCTTCAGTTGGTGATTTTTGACAGCACGCTTGTATTTAGATTCGTAATTGCAATCATTACACCTGTACATTTGAACCTGTGATGGATCTTTATGCCTCAACAGGTGCCTCTGAAGTAATGTCTTATTTTTAGTTTTATATTGACACGATTCACATTTATATGCTTCCGAATCGTTCTCGTGTGTCGCACAGTGTATCGTAAAATGGATCTCACTTTCAGTTTCGTAAATACATTTATCACACTTGTACAATACTTTGCGCTCCTGCTCGGTTTTGACTTCTGATCCATTTTCATGTTTACATCCATCCCCTCCTTCATCTTTACAATCACTCTCCTCGAATGGTACCATATTGGAGCTCTGCAGTGGCATATTGCTAAAAAAAATTGCATATAGTTTTTTTTTAAATTGCAAATAAAAGGTACTTTTGAAAATTAGGTTTTAATGTTATGAAGTTACAGGTGACTCATGCCAAAATATTGCGTTTCGCAAAAAATTACTGATAAAGGGGCATTTTTACATTTGAAGTTAATGAGATGTTATTATTAAATAATTATACATTTGTACCATGCTACCGGAAAAATTTAGTGCTTGCTGTGATTTCTATCGTCACACAGGAGATAAGGGACTTAGTAGAGAGAACAGAGCATCACGTCAAAAACGCCGGAGACTTTATTGACAAGATCCGAGGAATTGAACTTCAACCAGAAGATATCCTGGCGTGTTTCGATCTTATATCCCTATTTATGAAAGTACACGAGGCATCAACACGAGGTTAAAAGAACGCAAAAGTCACCTCAAAAATAACAACTAACAAACAAAAATAACAAAAAACTAAAAATAGCAGATTTCGTTTCTATCGTCGATACAACATTTTCGAATTTCATGCACGTAAAAACGCCTATAACTTACCGATCATCAAGAAAATACTTCAAAAGTGAACCATAGATGTCATCACAAGCAAAAAAACGTTATTATACACGGTTGGAAAATCCACATGGTCCATCTGCGTTTACATGAGCAACAAAGTAAAGAAATCCGTGCGATAGACAAGGATGGTTATATTGAAGACGTTTTATAATCTGAATAGAAATGGGCGGTGACTTCACATTATGAAACGTCTTCACTATAGCCATCCTTGTTTATTGCACGAATTTCTTTACTTTACTATGTCACTGTTATGTAAAAGCAGATGGACCATGTGGATTTTCCAGCCGGGTATACTGAATATAAGATATAAGATTTTTAAGATGGTTAGAGCACGTGCGTCGTCGATCAGCTGTACGTTGTAGTTCGAGTTGTGCTATTATTGTTTGTGTTATTATTCAACTTTGTTGATTTGTGTGCAGTGATGAAATATAAGTGATAAGTTGTACGCAGGTCATACAGGCAGTAAAAATCAAAGCTCAGTCCATAAGTGAAGTAAAATTGGAAATAGACGTCCGCCTAACTGTCATTGATTCGAGTGCGATCCGGAGTTCATGAGCGAGTCGGCAAAGAAACTCGAAACTTGATGATGATAAGTGTTTTGGGTATCGTTTCATTGACTTTATGACCATGAAAAGAGCAGGAAGAGCAAAATAGGGCCATGGAAGAGCTATTATATGATGCCGGAATAGCAGAGTGATGGTAAAAAAATTTGTATGCACCATATTATTATGATTTCCAAAAGTTACAGCATTCTCAACCTTCAAACGCGTTTTTCCCGAAACCATGTTTTTGAAACCAGCGAGCAGCAGAACTGAAAGAGTTTTCATCCGAACGACATGAAAATTGAATTGCAACTTCGTGTGATTATCTAGTGAAGTACACACGATTTTTACAATTGGTCAACAGGATTTTTTTTATAAACAGTCGATTTTTTGTCGAAAATTCGAATTTTTTGTTCAATGTTTTGCCAGTTTGCGAAAAAAATTCCTAAAATTATGATCGTGTGTACTTTACCAGCTAAACTCATGTAGTTTATGAAAAAAATTTTATGCTTTCAGATGGTGATTTTGGAGACTTCTACTGCTGGTTTTGTTCATGCTCTTCTATAGCCGCCATTTTGTAAGAAATTTTGAAATAAAAAAATTTTTTCTTACTCCTGAAGAGTTGCTTAATAGATTGGTGTAATGGTAGTTCACAATTATTATCAAAAAATGCTCGAAAAATTTTCTTCTTGCAATCCGCTTACATAACCACTAATTGTTTTGTAGCTCGGTGAGAGATCTACCGTTTTCGTTCCAAGAAAAAAATGAAAACTAGAATATCATTCCTTGTACCATATCTGATTCAAAGCCATAGTGATTGTTTTATTATGATCTTAATTTTTTTCCCAGTAATTTGTTAACCTAACTTTTAGTGATTGTACAATATACCCTTTATAACCAACAAAATCGCATAATTTGATACAATTAGTTTAAAAACCAGATGGTACGGTACGTATTTAATCAGATAAATCACGACGGTGTCAAGACCACACGTTGCTATTTTTTAAATTAATGTTAAAACCTTCTCCTACCTCCTTTCCTCATCTTCCGACTTTATGTCGATACTTTCAACTTTGATGGACATTTCCATCTCATTGACATCGAATTCTCTGTCTAAATGTTCAGTCTTAACCAATAAATCAAGTGAAGACATGTCTATTTGATTTTCTGTGGCTGAAGAATCAAAAGTACTTTCAATTTTTCTCTCTACCTCTAAGCAATCTTTCAAGAAACTGTTGTGAGTACCAAGAGAATCGAAGCATGACTTACAAACAACGGGATCTTTGATGATATTCAAATTCTACAAAGCATCTGTGTTAAATTACAGCATATACAATTATTTAATACGGTTTATACCATTTCAGGAGCCAATTTCTCAATAGCTTCAAGTTCCACTTCATATATGCACTTAAACTCACTTTCTATTGGCTGCATACACAATCGACATATTTTCTGACTGCAAGAAATATCAACTAACTCGTTTTTCTTTTCCTGCATGTACACTTCTCTTAAGTCGAGCTGTAACACTTTCTCGCTATCCACATAAGGAATAATTGCCTTATCGGTATCCAGACATGTTGACTTAAATTCTGACGCCGCATTTAACTTTCTTCTGCAAACTTTACATATAACCTCTTTGCTCTCGTTATCAAATTTCTGAAAAATATGCAACTTTAACCAGACAGAAAATAACTATGGTAAAATAACAATTAAACATTAAAAGTTGCTCTACATTTGAGACTGTTAAGACATAATCTAATTATATTTTACTAACTTACTAGTTTCAGCAAAAGAACATCTAGCATGTCTCTAATACTGTTATCTACCACTTCAAAACCTTCATCGGTTATATATTTAAAGCAAAGTCTACACAAAGTTCCCTTAACATCAGCCATTGCTCTTCAACAATTTTATTTTGAGTAAAAAAGCACACAGAAACAAAAATATAATGCCGCCACTTCTAACCTTTTTGTTTTGGCTTTTTTCTGACAGCACACCACAGACCACAGAGTGTAGTTATGGTTAGGAATAGAGATGGGTGAAACGACACTGAACACTGAACCGGCTCATCGTACTCGGACTGGGTCAATATGAAGGCTCACATAGACCTGTTCCTTCTCAAAGATTCGTCCTGTATTTCGGATCTTTCTGTTGCAGCGTGCTAACGAACATCCGAAGACATGAAACGAAATCAAGAACATTCTCAAATAATAATTAAGTGGTGGAAACAAATTTTTGTTGAAATAAATACAAGAAAATAACTTCAAGAAACATAGTCAATAAATAAGAATTTATTCCATGATTTTCTTTTTTTTTGGTACATCCTTTTTTAATTGCTAATAAATAATCAACAAAAACAGATTCTACAGTAGTATTCTATAAAAAATACTACATACCTATGTTAAGCAATCTGTGTTTCATGCGTCTTTTAAATAAATTTTACTAAGCGAGCTACACAGTGTGTTCACTCGGCTGGTACGCGGGCCCCAGTGCACTAAGGAGGGGACTCATGACAAAATCGCCTCAATAGAGGGGGCTCCCTACGAGGATCCGGAACCGGGTCAGTAAAATGAGCCGGATTACTCATCTCTAATTGGGAATGTCCGATACAACCACATAGCACCTAGTGTCCGTTTCCTATCGCAAAGCACGGGAACCGATGATGCCAAAATGCGGGGAAGTGGAGCGTGCGAGGTAATTTGACTGCGCATACTTTGAACAGTCCGGTTTAAGCAGTATTTTTCCACTTATGAGAAATATTCATTTTTCAAGTTTGGAATTCAGAAAATAATATACTTTAATGTCTTGCTTATATTAAATAAACCTACAAAATAATTTAAATATATTATTCTATTGTACTTTAAGTAATGTTAGTTTATTTAGTATTTGTCATTTCGTATACTTTACTGAAATAAATATTTTAACCTCGTGATTTATTCTCACATCGATATACTTTTCACATACAGTCCTCACAAGTTCTTATGCATATTTTTAAATGTGTTCACACTCAAAAAGTGTTTTGACATGATACACAATTTTTCTGTAGCTCGGGTGTACTGTTTTTAGTTATTAAACAAATATATTATTTTTTCTGTTTCTTAAATTGTTATTTTTCTTTTTAAACGACGTTTATCTTCTGCGAGTTATCTCTTTTTTGGAAATTAAAGAAAGCCGCCTAACTTCATACATATCTTATTTCTTATTTTTTCATACTTTTCATTATCCGTAATATTCAAAGTTAAACATTGAATCAAATATCTCTACTATTTTCAAAATGGTTGAGATTTCGAAGTAAATGTGGTACAAAGACCATCATTCTTGGTTCTATCTGAAAAACGGAAGTACAAAAATAATACAAATGCTAAACAAAAGTTTTATTCTAAAAAAATTAAAAACTCTTCCAACAAAAATCGTGATATGGGGAAAATAGTTGCCTTTGACATGGTTAATAAAAATATATTAAAACAAAAATGATAAAAAATGGGTATTTGAGGAAATATGTTGGGTTGTTAGCAAAGTACACGGGTACATTTGCATTTAAGAAAAATCTTTATGCTTCAACATGTGGCGTCCGATACACCTCCTGTATTTAGTTTCAAAATCGCAGTCGTTGCAGCTGAACAGTTTAACAGTCGATGTTTCAGTTGATGCAGTTTGATGAAACTATTGTATACAGTTTCGTAATCACAGTCGCTGCACCTGTACACTTGAACCTGTAAAGAATCTTTATGCTTCAGTTGGTGCCGTATGATATAACTCTTGTATTTAGTTTCGAAATTGCAGTTTTTACACCTGTACATATGAATCTGCGAAGGATCTTTATGTTTCAGTTGATGTTGTTCCAAATAATTCTTGTATTTACTTTCGTATTCGCACTCGTTACATTTGTACACGCGAACCTGCGAAGGATCCTTATGCTTCAGTTGGTGCCGTTTCATATAAAACTTGTATTTAGTTTCAAGACTGCAGTTGTCACACTTGTACATTTGAACCTGCGCGGGCTGTTTATGTTTCAGTTGGTGCAGTTTGATAGCATACTTGTACTTAGTTTCATAATCGCAATCGTTACATTTGTACATTTTTACCTGTGAAGGATCTTTATGCTTCAATTGGTGATTTATCATATTCCTGCTGTATTTACTTTCGTAACTGCAATCATTACACTTGTACATTTTCACCTGTGAAGGGTCTTTATGTATCAATTGATGTTTTTTGATATATTCTTTGTGTTTAGATTCAAAATCACAGTCGCTGCACCTGTACATTTGAACCTGCGAAGGATCTTTATGTTTCAGTTGATGTTTTCTAACAACATACTTATATTTAGTTTTGTAATCGCAGTAATTACACTTGTACATTTGAATCAGTGAAGGATGTTTATGTTTCAGATGGTGCCTTTCGGCAGCATACCTGTATTTAGTTTCAAAATCACAGTCATTACACCTGTACATTTGAACCTGCAAAGGATCTTTATGCTTCAGTTGGTGCTTTTTGACAGCATACTTGTATTTAGTTTCGAAATCACAGTTTTTACATCTGTACATTTGAACCTGTGAAGGATCTTTATGTTTCAGGTTGTGCCGTATCATACCATTCTTATATTTAGTTTCGTAATCGCAGTTTTTACAACTGTACAGTGGAACCTGCGAAGGATCTTTATGTTTCAGTTGGTGTCGTTTGAAATAACTCCTGTATTTAGTTTCGTAATGGCAGTCTTTACACCTGTATATTTTTATCTGAGGCGGGTCTTTATGCCTCAACAGGTGCCTCTGAAGTAATTTCTCATTTTCAGTTTCATACTCACACGATTCACATTTATACACTTCCGAATCGTTCGTTGTAAAATGGAACTCACTTCCAGTTTCGTAAATGCATTTACTGAATTTGCACAACACTTTGCGCTGCAGCTTGGTTTTCATTTCTGATCCATTCTCACGTTTACTTCCATCCTCTTCATCTTTACAGACCCTTTCCTCAAATGGTACGATATCCGAGCTCTGCAGCGGCATGTCACTGAAAAAATTGCACATTCATGGTATTTTTAAAAAACAAGTTTTAATTTTTAAAGGTTTTAGGTGACACATGCCAAAATGTTTGGTTTAAAAAAAAAAAAATACTCTAATAAAGGGGCATATTTACAATTAAAGTTAATGAAATGTGATCATTAAGTAATTATACATTTGTGTCACCGTACCGGAACAATTCAGTGCTTGCTGTCATTTCTATCGTCGTCACTCTTAGACTTGATCGATTTATGTGTTATTAAAATGGATAGTAACTTCCAATTTCACAAACATAAGCTTATGAACCCCACAAGGCATTATTTAATTTTTATGATAATGAAACAATTTTTATGCCGTTCAAATAGTGTTAACAAAATATAAAGCTGGAATAAGACAAGGAATTTTGATTTTACATTTTATCAATAAAAAATTCAGATCAAACAGTTGCTACAATTTGGTAAATCTGTAGCTGACAACCAAAAAAAACACCGTACTTTAAAGCTATTATTTCTAGTAGTCTTTTGTACAGTTGTACAGTTGATTCGTTGCATCTTTACGTTTATGTCATCAATATAATAAAAGGCAAAAGTTCAATTATTGATCAACTTGAATTAACTGATAGAAAAAGACAAGCTGTCGCCTTCATGTGTTATACGACTGACACAAGTTCCGAAAGATGTTATTAATTGTACCTGACGACTGACAAAGAGACAAATATATTGTCGTTTGTTATACGTTTAAAATGTAGACATATTTGACTAGAATCGTTTCTGACCCTGTGCACAAAAGTAGTGGATTATACAGGGTAGGAAAGTCCCCATGGTTCATTGGCCGTTACGTGATAGCGATAAAGTCATAGAAATCGGTGCGATAGTCACCGCCTATTTCACCCTTCCACAAATAAGATCCACTTATAAAAAATGGTAGGAAACATATAAGCATATATAGACTGTTTTTATATGATGGCACAGTACATTTGCTACTAGTATTTTTGTCACAAACAAAGCCTCTATTGATTGGCCTGTGAGTCATGCCGTTGTTTCAGTAAATCGAGATCAAGTTTGTTTGGTTTTGGTGGATTTTAAACTGTTACGATGCAAAATATCACAAAACATGTTTTCATTACACAAATGTGATTCCTCACTATTATTTAAATGAACAGTAATTCATGAACACGATCACTGATTTTAACTCATTTTTTAATCTTAGTTCATACCATTATCCTTGATGACGAGAAAGTAAAGGTCCAACGGCTCAACTGTAGCTGTTACTAAATATTGGTGTGGTGTATTATCTGATTCAAAGCCTAATGATTGTTTTATAATGGTCTTACATTTTTCCCTGTAACTTGTAAACATAACTTTTAATGATTGTATAAAAATTTATACAATATATCGTTTATAACCGACAAAATTGCATAATTTGTTACAATTAGTTTACCACCAGATGGTATGGTACGTATTTAATCATATAAATCACGACAGTGTCAAGATTACCGCCCGCCATTTTTTAAATTAATGGTAAATCAGTCTTCCCTTACCTAATTTCCTCATCTTCCGACTTTATGTCGATACTTTCAACTTTGATGGGCATTTCCATCTCGTTAATATAGAATTTCTTGTCCAGGTTTTCAGTCTTAACGAATAAACCAAGTGGAGACGTAACTATTTGATTTCCTGTGGCTGAAGAATCAAAAATACTTTTAACTTTTTCTTCTACCTCTAAGCAATCTTTTAGGAAACTGTTGTGAGTACACAGAGAATCCAAGCATGGCCTACATACAACGGGATCTTTGACGATGTTTATAATCTACAAAGCAATTTTGTTAAATTACAAAATATACAATTATTTAATATGGTTTATACCACTTCAGGAGCCAATTTCTCAATAGCTTCAAGTTCCACTTCACGTATGCACCTAAACTCACTTTCTACTGGGTGCATACACAATCGACATATTTTCTGACTGCAAACTACTTCACTTTTCTTTTCCTGCATGTACACTTCTGTTAAGTCGAGCTGTAACACTTTCTCGCTATCCACATATGGAATAATTGCTTTATCGGTATTCCTACATGTTGATTTAAATCCTGACGCCGCATTTAACTTTCTTCTACAAACGTTACATATAACCTCTTTGCCCTCGTCATCAAATTTCTGAAAAATATACAACTTTAACCAAAAAGAAAATAACTGTGACGTAAAATAACAATTAAACACTAAAATTTGCTTTACAATTGAGACTGTTAAGACGTAATCTAATTATATTTCACTAACTTACCAGTTTCAGCAAAAGAAAATATAACATGTCTCTGATACTGTTGTCTATCACTTCAAAACCTTCATCGGTTATATATTTAAGGCAAAGCCTACATGAAGTTTCCTTAACATCAGCCATTGCTCTAAAACAATCTTATTTTGAGTAAAAAAAAAAAGGGCACGGACACAAAAATACAAGCCGTCACTTCTAACCTTTTTGTTTTGGCTTCTTCTGACAGCACAGCACAGCACAGACCACAGACTGCAGTTGTGGTTAGGAATAGAGATGGGAGAAACGACACTGAACCGGCTCATCGTAGTCGGACTGGTCCACCATATGAAGGCTCACACGGACCTGTTCTGTTCCTTCTGATTCGTCCTGAATTTCGGATCTTTCCGTTGCCGAAGACATGAAACGAAATCAAGAGCACTGCTCACGTACACGCGCAATTTAGGCTATTGATTATGGGATTTTAAAACTATGACGTTCAAGACATCTTATTACATGAATCGTTCAAATGGTCATTTTAGATGAAAAAACCGCGGGGTGCTATTAAATTAGAGGGTGGAAATTGGAGATAGGGGTGAAAGTGCACCCCTTTTAGTTTTTTAATTGTAACTCGAAAACGAAGCAAAATTTCGCTATAGTTCATAAGAAAAAATATTTATAGAATTGAATTCCCCATCGAAATGGTTTATTTATAAAAACTTAAAAGGTAAATTTTATGCAAAAAATCGAGAATAAATTTTAAAAAAGCAAAAAATTAAATTTTTCTGATACCCATGCATTTTTGTGCAAAATATGGAACAAACCATTCCAAGATCCACCATTCTACCAAACCATTCCAATTGTGACAATTTTCAGGAAGTCAAAGTTGTAGAAGATGTACTTGAAGACATAGATGAAGCTATTGAGATCNAAACATAATCGTTAATTAATCGTTCAAATGGTCATTTTGGATGAAAAAACCGCGGAGTGCTATTAAATTAGAGGGTTGAAATTGGAGAGAGGGGTGAAAATGCGCCCTTTCAGTTTTTTAATTGTAGCTCGAAAATGAAGCAAAATTTCGGTATAGTTCATAGGAAAAATTTTGTATAGAATTGAATTTCCCATCGAAATGGCTTATTTAAAAAAATTTAAAAGAAACATTTGAAGTAAAAAATCGTTAATAAAAAATTTTATAAAAAAGCGAAAAATAAGATTTTTTTATTTTTTTTTACTTTTTTGAAGTTGTGAAAATTTTTATTTACTATTAACAAATAAATCCTTGAAATAATTTTTTATTAAGTAAAGAACCAATTTGTTGTAAAAATAATAAGAATTATAATCATTATTATGTTAAAAACGACGAAAATCAAGAAAATATTTAAGTTTGGCCGGTTATAACTCAGTCAATATTATAATATAATAATAATAATAATAATATATTTATTCATCCCTTCAGATCTTACAAGAAAAAGATAGGACAAGTCAATATAACAGGAAAGTATATAAAAGTATATACGATACATTAACAATTGATAAGACTCTTACAGATACATGCACAATAAGTTTTAAAATTTTCTATCTAAAAATTCTGCAACATTATAAAAACATTCATTTGATAAAAATTGTCTTCATTTAAAACCATTTGGATTATTCTCGTCTCACACACTCGGGCAGCCGATTCAAAAGTTTAGTCCCCATATAGACTGGGCTTTTTTCAAAAAGACTAGATAATCGGAATTTCTGCAAAAATTCTGATAGTTATTTTTTACAGAGAGAATGCACTTGTATATATAAACAGAATAGAATATAAGAATACTATGTTTTTTTAAATGTTCTCTACAGGTTTCTCTGTATTTTAAATTAAAAATTAGCCGTATAATTCTTTTTTGAGAAATAAAAACTTTGGAAGCAGCCCCTACACTACCCCACAAAATAATATTATAAGAAATGTGAGGGTAAACAATGGCATAGTAAACATTAATTAATTGATCTGTAGTAAAGATATTCTTGTTTTAATATGGCATATTAGCTGCTATTTAATTTTCTGCAAACATGATTTATGTATTTATTCCAACTTATATTGCTGTCCATTATATTAGTATATTATATTAAGTAGTCCAAAAACTTTTGAAAACACATCATTTTTAAGGGAATCTCATCTAGTTTTTTTGTACAGCAATTTCCTTTGCCTATTAAACGAGACGAAAATCGAAAAATTGGCTAAGTTTGAGCGGCCATATCAGTCAATTTTCATCCAAAAATACTTTACAATTTCTTGTTTTGAAGGAAATTTGATCTACTTTTTTTTATAAAGCAATGCCTATAACTATCTTTACTTAAAAAAAAACTAGAGGCATAAAGTGAAAAAAATAAAAAAATCGAATTTTTTGCTTTTCTTACCCCTTTCGTGAACGATGACGCATCTAATTTTTTTACTAGAAAACTTTCGGTTTTATCGAAAAATTACAAGAGGTAAAAAAGTTGCGCAATAAATCAGTCTTCCCAATAAAATTTCTAATAGAATATTGCAATGGGGTTGACTGTTTCACTCCTTTATAAAATACGCCAATAATCGAACAAATATTGAAAAGTTGTCTATTTATTAGTAGAATACTCATACCAAGTTTCGTGTCTCTAGCATTCCTCATGTTCTTTTCATATAAGGTATTTTTGTTTCAATCCTCTTAGTTTTGGCTCCACATTCACTGGTACCATTTTTGCTACTTCATCTAAAAACACCCTATATAAAACAAAGTACTATCATTCTTGGTACCTCTCTCCACTCCTAATAGCCGAGAGATTAAAATTGGGACAATAGTGAAAGCAGCAGTTCACAACTTTCTGTTATAACAATAATGTATATTTATTTTACATTAGACCTCTTTATTAATTACATGCTTTACACAGTTCACAATCTCGCTGTTTGATATTAATGTACACATAGAAGTTATGAACCGTTCGTCAATTATTAAACTGTCACATTGTGAGAAACGGGAAAGTGTAGACATAACTAGGTATCAGCAAATTCTACAAAAGCTAGTCCGAAATCACTTTTCAGCCTCCGTTTCGGTCAGGTTTTTGTGTTTCAACCAACATATTTCAAGCGAGGCGGTTATATTCACACTTATCGCTTTTAAACGCCTCTATTTCTGCCAATATTTTGCACAACGATGGAAGGGCTGTACAAAGCACACCGATGCATTCGCATTTATGAAGCCTCTTTATGCTTCAGTTGGTGATATTTGATATAATCCTTATATTTAGTTTCGTAATCGCAGTCGTTACACCTGTACATTTGAACCTGCGAAGGATCTTTATGCTTCAGTTGGTGACGTTTCATATTTCTCTTGTATTTAGTTTCATACTTGCAGCTGTTACATGTATACATTTGAACCTGTGAGGGATTCTTATGTTTCTTTTGATGCAGTTTAATATTATTCTTGTATTTACTTTCGTAATCGCAGTCCCTACACTTGTACATTTGAACCAGTGAAAGATCTTTATGTTTCAGTTGGTGATTTTTGATATCATATTTGTATTTAGTCTCGTATGCACAGTTGTTGCACCTGTACAATTTCACTTGTGAAGGATCTTTATGCTTCAGTTGGTGCCGTTTGAAGTGACTCTTGTATTTAGTTTCGTAATCGCACTCTTTACACTTGTACATTTGAACAAGTGAAGGATCTTTATGTTTCAGTTGGTGATTTTTGATATCACATTTGTATTTAGTTTCGTATGCACAGTCGTTGCACCTGTATAATTTCACCTGTGAACGATCTTTATGTGTCAGTTGATGCTTTTTGATAACATTTTTGTATTTAGTTTCGAAATCACAGTCGTTACACCTGTACATTTGAACTTGTGAAGGATCTTGATGCTTCAGTTGGTGCTCTTTGACAGCTCTTTTATATTTACTTTCATAATCGCAGTCGTTGCACTTGTACATTTGAACCTGCGAAGGATCTTTATGTTTCAGTTGGTGCCGGTTGATATCACTCTTGTATTTAGTTTCATAGTTGCAGTCTTTACACCTGTACAGTTTCACCTGTGAAGGATCTTTATGCTTCAATTGGTGCTGTTTGATATAATCCTTGTATTTACTTTCGTAATCACAGTAGTTACACCTGTACATTTGAACTTGCGAAGGATCTTTATGCCTCAACAGGTGTCTCCGAAGTAATTTCTTATTTCCAGTTTTGTATTCACACGATTCGCATTTATATGCTTTCGAATCGTTATCATGTCCCGCACAGTGTGCCGTAAAACAAATCACACTTTCAGTTTCGTAAATGCAATTATCACATTTGTACAATACTTTGTGATCCTGCTCGGTATTCACTTCTGATCCACTCTCACGTTTACATCCATCCTCTTCATCTTTACAGTCACTCTCCTCGAATGGTGCAATATTGGACAGTGGCATGTCGCTGAAAAAAATGCATATACAGGGTATATTTGAAAATCAGGTTTTAAGTTTAGTGAAATAATTTTCATCCTGTTCAAACAGGGTAAAAAGAAATAATAAAGTTGGGAGTAAGACAAGGAACTTTGTTTTTGGCAATTTTATTAATAAGAAATTCAGGTGACACAGTTGTGACATTTTGGCAATGTAAGTCTACAGCAGGCAGCCAACAGGTACATTTGCTACGGCATAACAACCGAAAAAACCATCGTACTTTAAACCTATTAATTCTGGTAGGATTTGAAATTGTCATTCCTCTTATACCCCTTATGACAGAAGTTAGAAATTATGAATGTCACAAACAATAAAATTCAAATATTAAGGAATACCACAACAAGAATACTCGTTAATTTAAGCAAAAGCTAAAATCTAACGACTATCCTGTTTCTCTTCACAATGTTATCAATAGTTCAATCAATGATTGTACATAATAATAATAATTTGAATTTTATGAAGAATCGATTCAAATCTTTAATATCAAGTTTAATTGTCAAAAAAGGTATTTAAGGCTAGGTATAAAGTCATACAATAAGTACATAAACAAAATGACAGAAACGGATGATTTAAATACAATCTACAATTGCACTATTAATAAATGTATTAAATTTTAATCAAGTAATAACACCTAGTACATCAGCTTCTTTTGTTAGTCAACGTCTTTTACCTTTTGAATTTTTACTGGGACAATTCGGTTCGCATTACGTCACATTATGCAGAATTAAATTGCATTGTATTGTATTACATAGCGTAATACTGCATTAACCTTCATCCCGCTGCATTGACTCACATTAAACTTACATTACGTTGGTTTACTTATGCATTACGCAACATTACGCTCTATTTGTTGATTTTCTTAACACCGTTTATCATTCGTTTGTGTTGATAGTGCCCCCCAAACTAACTTTGAATAAGTACATTAGGAAAAATTTGTCTAAATATCACATCAAGCTTATTACAGTTAATTATGTTAATATCGAGGTTAGCACCTAAATTCTAAACGTCAATTCGATAGCTTAATGAAAAAAAGATTTCTATGTTTGTCTTACGTAGGCCGTAGGTATACCTATATAATTTCTTTAGCCCTTCATTGATCCAAAGGAGTTTATCTAGTTCCAACTTTAAAAATTAAAACCTATGTATTTGATTATTCTTATTTCCAATCCTGCTAAGTTACCAATTATGGTCACAATACAGAGCGTAGTCTATTTTAGAGATATTAGCTAATTCAAATGAAGTCAAATAACGTTCTTCGGTACCAGAAATCTATGCAAAAGATATCTAATTCGACCGACAAGACTCTTAACTACTGACAATGCCGGAAACGACTACTCCAGTCTGCATGCCTCAACTAGCACTGCGTTATACCACGACAATACCTAGGAGGCTACTAATAAAAAATTATCCAAATAAAAACTGGAAATAATGTCTATATATATTTAACTCAAAAACACGTACCCGTTGTATTGAAATTAAATAATTCAATCATTCAAAGAAATAAGCAGTATTCTTATTGGTCCTTGAAAAGATTAATTACGTAAGAAACATATGAAAATATATAATAACAGAAAAAAACATCAAACCTTTACAAAAAAGACATTTTGAAATGACCGCCAGAAGTTTTGAACATGGGATCTATTATAATTGTTTAGTTATACAATATATACAATATGCCCTTTTTATTACGTTATTTTTTTACTTTACACTTTATGCTCTATTTTAAAGCTAATTCGAACAAATTTATTTTTTTTTTAATCTGGTCAAATCAAGTGAAACAGTGTTTGTTTTACGCATTCCTAGATTTCTATTATCGAAGGACACTACTCGATTCATTCGATAAGATAAAAAAAATTTGGATTTGGGCAGAGTAAAAAATACTTGAGTAAATAATAAAATATATCTTTTTTAAGAGAAATTAAATAAAAATTGGATAAAAAACAATTATAATCGATCTACTCATGTTCAAAGCTTTTGATACTGTTGTTTCAAAATGGAATTTTTTCTAAGAGTTCGATGCGAGTATATTTTATTTTCTATTAATATTTATTAATTCCCTACGAGAAGGGTTACTACCTGTTGCGTTCACACATACTATTTAAATTAATTTGAAGATATTAAATATTTTTTGTTTATTTAGTATTATAAAATATTAAGTTAATTATTCTATTGGGAAATTGGTTATGCGCTGGCCAAATGAATTTCATGCTGTTTGTAGTACCTAATTTTTCTATCAAATATTGAATCTTGCGTATTTTTAATGATTACTAAATTTGTATTTATAATTATATTTGTAACAAAATATTCCAATACGTTATTAACAAAAAAACCAATAGTTTTAGAATCTTTGCTTATTTATTCCAACTATGTAATAAATTCATTTTAGAATAAAAAAATAATACTTAAGTGAACTTATAGAATTTGCATAATATTCATTGTTATCGAAATCCTGACCTTGTCAATGACGTTATCCCCACTATCTCCGCGCAACAATTTTGATGTTACATTATTTTATAGAAACTTGACCCAATCTAAAGTACACCAAGTTTAATAAAAAAAAAACTGTACTATTTCCAAACAGGCTGAAATTTCGAAGTACACGTTGATAAAGTACCATCATTATTGGTTCTATCTGCCCCTAAAGTTTAATAGACTGAAATTGGGAGGCCCTGTATAGTTGATTTCCCAACCCACACATGTCAACAACTATCTATTATAAAAGACTCTACATTTACACCTGCGAAGGATTTTTATGCTTCAATTGGTGCCTTTTGATAATATACTTGTATTTAGTTTCGTATGTGCAGTCTTTACACCTGTACATTTGAACTTGGGAAGGATCTTTATGCTTCAGTTGATGATTTTTGATATGACTCTTGTATACAGTTTTGTAATCGCAGTCATTACACTTGTACATTTGAACCTGTGAAGAATCTTTATGTTTCAGTTGGTGCTGTCTGATATAACTCTTGTATATAGTTTCGTAATTGCAGTCATTACACCTGTACATTTTCAGCTGTGAAGGATCTTTATGTTTCAGTTCGTGATTTTTAATATTATATTTGTATTTAGTTTCGTATGCGCAGTCGTTACACCTGTACAATTTCACCTGGGAAGGATCTATATGTATGAGTTGATGCTTTTTGATAACATTTTTGTATTTAGTTTCAAAATCGCAGTCGTTACACCTGTACATTTGAACTTGTGAAGGATCTTTATGCTTCAGTTGGTGTACTTTCATTTGCTTGCTGTATTTAGTTTCGTAATTGCAGGCATTACACTTGTACATTTGAACCTGTGAAGAATCTTTATGTTTCAGTTGGTGAAGTTTGATATGACTCTTGTTTATAGTTTCGTAATTGCAGTCATTACACTTGAACATTTGAACCTGTGAAGGATCTTTATGTTTCAGTTGGTGCTGTTTGATATAACTCTCGTATACAGTTTTGTAATCGCAGTCGTTACAACTGTACGTTTTCACCTGCGAAGGATTTTTATGTTTCAGCTGGTGCCTTTTGATAATATATTTGTATTTACTTTCGTATGTGCAGTCTTTACACCTGTATATTTGAACCTGTGAAGGATCTTTATGTTTCAGTTGGTGCTGTTTGATATAACTCTTGTATACAGTTTTGTAATCGCAGTCATTACATCTGTACATTTTCACCTGCAAAGGATCTTTATGTTTCAGTTGATGATTTTTGATATCATATTTGTATTTAGTTTCGTATGCACAGTCGTTGCACCTGTACATTTTCACCTTTATGTTTCAGTTGATGCTTTTTGATAACATTTTTGTATTTAGTTTCGAAACCGCAGTCGTTACACCTGTACATTTGAACTTGTGAAGAATCTTTATGCTTCAGTTGATGTCGTTTGATATAATTGCTGTACTTAGTTTCATAATCGCACTCATTACACCTGTACATTTGAACCTTTGAAGAGTCTTTATGCCTCAACAGGTGCCTCTGAAATAATTTCTCATTTTCAGTTTCGTACTCACACGATTCACATTTATACGCTTCCAAATCGTTCTCGTGTCTCGCACAGTGTGCCGTAAAACAGATCTCACTTTCAGTTTCGTAAATACATTTATCACATTTGTACAATACGTTGTGCTCCTGCTTGGTCTTCACTTCTGATCCATTATCGTGTTTACATCCATCCTCTACTTCATCTTTACAGTCACTCTCCTCGAATGGTACAACATCGGAACTCAGCAGTGGCGTGTTACTGAAAAAATTGCATATACAGGGTATTTTTAGAAATCAAGTTTTAATTTTAAGGGCTTATAGGTGACACATGCCAAAATATTGCGTTTAACAAATAATTATTCCAATAAACGGCAAATAACGGCACATTTCAAGTTAATGAGATGTGATTATTAATTATTATATATTTGTTCCACCGGAACCGGAACAATTCAGTTCTGCTGTCATTTCTATCGTCGTTAGTGTCAAACTTGATTGAATTGTGTTAAAAAGGATAGTAACTTCCAAACATTTCACAAACAAACGTTCAATTATAAGTTTATGAACTTCACAAGGCATTATTTCATTTTTATTACTAAAGACCGGATTATATGCAATCAAAAACCTTTATAATAAGCGCACATATATCTACATTAACCGAAGTTACAGGACAAAATTTTAAGTTTGGAATTAAAGCCGGTTCAATATCCAAATTTTCTAAAGTTATACCGGACATTACATTTGAAGCCTGAACTAAAACATTATAACCCGGATTTCTTTCAATTACCCCTTCTAACTTCGTAGCTACGGCCTTTCCTACTTCACCTCGCACTTGCTTACAATTATATATAAATTTTTCTACTATATCTATTGACTCTGGCATGCTTTCAGACGTTCCTTCTAATTTTAAAATACTTTCTGGTACAAAACTATAGTTACATTTAATGTAAATCAATTACTGTTCAATTTCAGAATTTTGAAGAAGTTGTTTGCATTTTTGAATGGATTGGGGATCATCTTCAATTTGTAAAACTAACTCTTTAAATTTTTGGAAATTATCTGCATAAAATATTGCGGCTCGAATCCAGGTGCCCCACCTGGTGCCAACAGGCTCAGGTGGTAATGGTGTTTCAGGTAAATACGCTTTATAAAACTGCACTCTTAATGNTGGGAATCATCTTCAATTTGTAAAACTAACTCTTTAAATTTTTGGAAATTATCTGCATAAAATATTGCGGCTCGAATCCAGGTGCCCCACCTGGTGCCAACAGGCTCAGGTGGTAATGGTGTTTCAGGTAAATACGCTTTATAAAACTGCATTCTTAATGGGGCCTTTAAAAAAATTTTCTTCTCATTAGCAATTAAATCATTGACCAATGGGAAGGAAGTTTTAATGGTCTCTGCAAAACTGTTAGGTTGTTTGTTTTTTCAAGTTCTTTTACTGCTATAAGATGAGGTTTTCCAGGTTCTTCAGAAAGTTTTCCAATCATTAGATTAGCTATGTAACGACTGCAAGCATCTGTTGTTTCGTCAAAAGTAATATATATGTAGTTATCTGCAATTTCTTTCTTAATTTCTTCTATCACTGAAGCATATACCTTTCCAACGACGTTATTTCTTAATGTAGTCGTCAATTTAAGTAAACACTAAAATCTGACGATTATCCTGTTTTTCTGTACAAGGTTATCCTTGACCATAATATAATCAACAAAAGTACTAATACACCGAAAGCCCAAGGCACATTTTAGTGACCAGTAGTACGAAGGCTGATTTTCATCCATATGTAAGGTCTTGCATGATGCATAAGCAAAACGACCTTCAGCTGCCGGTCTTCTGGTGGAGGTGAGAGTAATAGGACCCCTACCCACGTTGAAAAATGTAAAAAAAAGTGTATACTGGCAAAGCTGAAATTGTTTATAGATTTGTTTATAACAATAAATAATAAAAAATCACGTTCAGCTGAAAAATAAGCCGGTGGAAACGTTTCAGCTAGGCGTATAAACAGGTATGACATCAAAAAAGAGAACTTATAGAATGAAATAAAATGTGGCTTGTAGTAGTTTTTTTTTTTAGTGCTCATCTGTCAAAAGTGACGACAGAACAAAAAAATTCAAAAACTCCTTTGAATGATTATTTACAATTCCGTGTATCAGGTATATATTTTTGTAGTAATTATATTTAATCAAATTGTTTCTAGTTTTTATTTTATATAACCATGTATTACTAACTGATACTAGATATGACAGTGGTATATTCGATGCCAGCTGGGGCATGCAGCCCATAAAATAGTCGTTCCCTGCAATATCAACTGTTGCACACCTAGATTTCTGGTATCAAAGAACATTGTTTGACGTCATTTGATAAGATTTTTTAGAAGATATTTCTTTAATTTGAATTATGCCGATACCATTAAAATAGCGTAAAAATTAATTTTCAGTAAGAATAAGTGAAGGTCAAACTGGGTTTCTTCTTGCAATATGCTTAAATAACCACTAATCGTTTCTCAAATTGGCAAGAGATCTAACATTTTCGTCCCAAGAAAATTTCGATTTCTGCCCAAAAATAAAAAAATTTTGAAGAAATAAACTATGGTATAGCATTTTTTGTATCCATATCTGATTTAAAGCCATACCGATTGTTTTATAATGATTTTAAATTTTTTCCCAGCAACTTGTTAACCTAACATTTAATGATTATATAAAAATTTGTACAATACTCTTTGTAACCGACAAAACCGCATAATTTGTTACAATTAGTTTATCACCAGATGGTACAGTACGTATTTAATCATATAAATCACAATGGCTTTAGGACCACGGACTGCCATTTTTTAAATTAATGTTAAAATAGTCTTCTCTTACCTATTTTCCTCATCTTCCGATTTTATATCGATACTTTCAGCTTTGATGGACATTTCCATCTCGTTAATATCAAATTCTTTGTCCAAGCTTTCAGTTTTAACGATTAAATCAAGTGAAGACGTATCTATTTGATTTTCTGTGACTAAAGAATCAAAAGTGCTCTCAATTTTTCTCTCTACCTCTGAGCAATCTTTCAGGAAACTGTTGTGGGTACACAGAGAATCCAAGCATGGCTTACAAATAACGGGATCTTTGATGATATTCATATTCTACAAAGCATTTGTGTTAAACTACAAAATATACAATTATTTATAATGGTTTATACCATTTCAGGAGCCAATTTCTCAATAGCTTCAAGTTCCATTTCATGTATGCATTTAAACTCACTTTCTACTGGGTGGATACACAATCGACATATTTTCCGACTGCAAGAAATATCAACTAACTCGTTTTTCTTTTCCTGCATGTACACATCTCTTAGGTCGAGTTGTAACATTTTCTCGCTATCCACATAAGGAATAATTGACTTATCGGTATTCAGACATGTTGATCTAAATTCTGACACCGCATTTAATTTTCTTCTGCAAACGGTACATATAACCTCTTTGTTATCGTTATCAAATTTCTGAAAAATATGCAACTTTAACCAGAAAGAAAATAACTGTGGCGTAAAATAACAATTAAACACTAAAAGTTGCTTTACAATTGAAACTGTTAAGACGTAATGTAATTATATTTCACCGACTTACCAATTTTAGGAAAAGAACATCTAGAATGTCTCTGATACTGTTGTCTATCACTTCAAAAGTTCCATCGGTTTTATATTTACGGCAAAGCCTACACGGAGTTCCCTTAACATCAGCCATTGCTCTTCAACAATCTTATTTTAAGTATAAAAAGAACACAGAGACAAAAATATAACGCCGACACTTCTAACCTTTTTGGCTTCTACCACAGAATATCCCAATTACAGATATTCTGTGCTTCGACTGGCACTACTGGCAGCACAGGACGTAATGTTGTGGTTAGGAATAGAGATGGGAGAAACGACACTGATCCGGCTCATTGCGCAGGCTCTTCGTACTGATTCGAGTTAACTGCAGTGATACTCTGTAAACTATAGATTTCGTTGAATCGGATCCTACAAAAGAATTCACTTTCATAAAGCAAAAATTATCTGAATTGGTACTCTGTGCAGCACAAAGCTTAGTTGTGGTTAGGAGTACAGATGGGAGAAACGACACTGACCGGCTCTTCGTTGTCCGAGTAAGACCGGTGTCCCATGCACCCGAATTCCGACGATACGAAGGTCCGAAAGTGTTCTATTGGTTAATATACATTCAAATTTTTACCGCTCATTTTCATCCGAAATTTTTAAAATTCATACGACGTCGGAAAAAGTAGAAATAATTTTAACTTTTATCCGAAATCGTATGTTTTTTAACTTCACTTTTAAGTTTTTAACATACTATGATTGTTGTTTGATATATTTACAGTCAAATAATTGTTATATTATAATGTTGAATGTAGAAAATATTATATTACGTATATTTTCTATAATATATACCTATGGTTGTAATTTGAAAGTTGTATGAATCGTATTCTACAATATAATTCGTCTTCATTAAGCAAGAGTTCTGTGAATTGATACCTGAGCTGCCACCATAGATCTGATATAGTACTATTAAATCTACGGCTGCAATCAGGAGTGGCTAAATATCCAACGGCGCTCCCGCCAAGCTACACACGCGCTGGTTTGAATCTAATTCTTCTGTTCTTAAAATGTAAACCTAATTAAACGGTAGTTTTATGAAATATTACATATAATATAGTTAACGAACTCAGGATTTTTGACCATTCTTGTTAGAAAGTTTCATCGATGGATTTACTTTGAGAGAAATATATGAGTTGCCAAAATGCGAACATTAGCAATGTTTGTAAATTGTTTTTATTGTTTCAGAAGTACCTACATACTTCTAAAAAGACAAAAATAATGTTCATTTCTCAAATCTTTCTTATATTGCAATACATTATAGAAATGTATGATAAAAATACAGCAAAATAGTGACATGAAAGCTTTCTTTTGCTAATAAACTTTTATTAGAGAAATTTTTCTGTATTACTTCCTGTTTTAAATTTATAATCAATATCGTCCTAGAGTCTTAGTTACATGTTCTACACAGTTGACAATATCGGTGTTTAAAACTAATGTACATGCTTAGCAGACTATCACATTGTGAGAAATAGAAAGTGTGGACATAATTATTAGCGAATTCTACAGGTTTTCGTGTTTCAACCAATGTATTTCAAGGCAGGCGTTACGTTTTCTTTGTATTCACATATTTACGATTGGTGTCACATCCACACTTGTCGTTCTTAATAATTTGCACTACTCCTAATATTCTGCACTACGTACGAAGGGTAATAATTCGCACCTGCAAACCTTTTTTTGTGCATCAATTGAGATCTTCTCAAAGAGTCATGCTTGGTTGTTAGCAAAGCACCCCGGTACATTTGCATTTATGAACACACTTCCACAATCGTCACACTTATACATTTGCACCTGCGAAGGCAGTTTGTGTTGTAGTTGATGCTGTTTGACAACATTCTTGCATATAGTTTTGTAATTGCAGTCATTACATCTCTACATTTGAAACCGCAAGGGATCTTTATGTTTCAGTTGGTGCTGTTTGATATTATTCTTATATTTACTTTCGTAATTGCAGTCGTTACACCTGTACATTTGAATCTGTAAGGAATCTTTATGTTTCACCTGGTGCTGTTTGATACCATACCTGTATTTACTTTCGTAATCACAGCTGCTACACCTGTATATCTGAACCAGTGAAGGATCTTTATGTTTCAGTTGGTGTTTTCTGACAGCATACTTGTATTTACTTTCATAATCGCAATCGTTACACTTATACATTTGAACCTGCGAAGCCTCTTTATGTTTCAGTTGATGCCGTTTCATATTTACCTTGTATTTAGTTTCGTGACCGCAAATGCCACACTTGTACATTTGAACCTGCGAAGGCTGTTTATGTTGCAGCTGATGCTTTTCAATACCATTCTTGTACATAGTTTCGTAACTGCAGTCATTACACCTGTACCTTTTCACCTGTGAAGGATCTTTATGTTTCAGTTGGTGATTTTTGACAGCACACTTGTATCTAGTTTCGAAATCGCAATCGCTACATCTGTACATTTGAACTTGTGAAGGATCTTTATGTTTCAATTGGTGTTCTTTCATATGCTTGTTGTATTTAGTTTCATAATTGCAGACATTACACCTGTACATTTGAACCTGTGAAGGATCTTTATGTTTCAGCTGATGCTGTTCGATAACATTCTTGTATTTAGTTTCGTAGTCGCAGTCGTTACACCTGTACATTTGAACTTGTGAAGGATCTTTATGCTTCAGTTGGTGTCCTTTCATATGCTTGATGTATTTAGTTTCGTAATTGCAGTCATTACACCTGTACATTTGAACCTGTGAAGGATCTTTATGTTTCAGCTGATGCTGTTCGATCACATTCTTGTACTTAGTTTCGTAATCACAGTCATTGCACCTGTACATTTGAACCTGTGAAGGATCTTTATGTTTCAGTTGATGCCGTTTGACAGCATTTTTGTATTTACTTTCATAACCACAATCGTTACACCTGTACATTTGAACCTGCGAAGGAGCTTTATGCTTCAACTGGTGCTCTTTGATATAACTCTTGTATTTAGTTTCATAACTGCAATCCCTACACTTGTACATTTGAACCTGGGAAGGACACTTCTGGTTTTTATGTTTCAGTAAGTGTTGTTTGATATTCTCCCTGTACTTAGTTTCGTAATCACAGTCATTACACATGTACATTTGAACCTGCAAAGGATCTTTATGTTTCAGTTGGTGTCGTTTGATATTCTGGGTGTATTTAGTTTTGAAATCGCAGTCGTCGCACCTGTACATTGGATCCTGTGAAGGATCTTCTAACAAATGCCTCTGAAGTAATTTCTTATTTTCAGTATCACATTCATACAAATCATATTTATCTGCTTCCAAATCGTTCTCGTGTCTCGCACAGTGTTCCGAAACACAGTTGTACAATACTTTGAGCTTCTGCTTGGCTTTCATTTCTGATTCATTCTCATGTTTACATCCATCCTCTTCTGCATCTTTACAGTCGCTCTCCTCGAAAGGCATATCACTAAAAAAAAAAATTGCTCATACAGGGTATTTTTAAACATCAAGTTTTAATTTTAAGAGGTTTATAGGTGACTCATTTCAAAATAATGCATTTAACAAAAAGTGACTCTAATAAACGGACATATTTACATTTGAAGGTAGCGTAATTATTAATTATACATTTGTACCACCGTACCGAAACAATTAAGTGTGATCTCTAATGTGGTCAAGCTTAGAATTGCTTGAATTGTTATTAAAATTGTTACAAACAGACATTTAATTATAAGTTTATCAACTCCACAGGGCATTATTTCATTTTTATTATAATGAAATAATTTTCACCTGTTCAAATAGCGTAATAAGAAAGTATAAAGTTGGAATAAGACAAGGAATTTTGTTTTTAGACATTTTATTATTAAAAAATTCAGATCGATCAGTTGTGACCTTTTTGGTAAGGCAAGTCTGTATCTGGCAGTGGTCAGGTATATTTGCCAGGACATAACAACCGAAAACCCATCATACTTTAAACCTATTAGTTCTAGTAAGCTTTTGAACTGTCATTTTCCTCAGCCCTCACGACAGAAGTTAGGAACTATGAGTCGCACACAACAAAATTCAAATATTACGTAATATCGCAATAAAAATCCTCCTTAGGGAGGTATATCAGGTTTACTCAAATGCACAGATGTACTTGAAATTTATATAGCGTATTACTCAGTGCTCCCTCTGTGCGTCATATTTTTTTGAAATTTTTTTTGAATCTAGATTTTGAGATATTGTTGTTGAAAGTTGTTCCTTTTAACACAGATTTACATGTACAAGCTTTTAGTAATACTCATTATGAGTAGGATCTGTATGTGTATGTGCTGTAGGGTATGTTTGTGAGTAGTTAATGTTGATAATATTGTACTGTTGTTTTTGTATTGTTGTTGTTGTATTAGAAGTAAATATTTTGTACACTTGACTTGCCATAAATGTATGACAAATGGTCAAATATACACCATCTATCTATCTATCTATAGCGAAGATGGACGGTGCGGCTCTTTTTTTGCCCATAACTGAGAAAAAAATGTAAAAGTTGTGAAACTAAACTTTTCCATAGATAGTACACGGTATTATCTTATTTTTGATGTAAAACTGATGTAAGTTTTGAACATAGTGCAGCTGTATTAATTAGAAACAGAAACGAATAATTGCATTTCTGTCCGACTTGAGGATTAATGAGGCAACGTCGCAATCAGTTGACAGCAAGGAGGGAATACATTTGAAAGACTTGATAAATACGAAATTGATTTCATACAAATACATTTTTCCTAAATTATCCACAACAGATGATTTTTTATAATGTTTTTAAAAAACTAGATTAATTAAAAGAGACTAGGAATAAAAAATACAGTTGATAAATCCTTTTAATATATTTGAGATAATACTTGAGATAAAAGCATTTGTACGGAATAACAAAGAAACGTAAATATTTCTCAGCAAACTTTATATCTAAAAAATTTGTTATAGCTGCAAAACTTTTGTAACATTACTCAAATAGAGATTAAAAACACAACAGTGAGTAATAATGTAATTTCTATCACAGAACTTTTAAAACTGCATTCAACATTTTCTTTGACTTGTACAAAAGATGGCTATCGGGCTCCTCACTTCCCTCGGACCCCGATATACCTCCTTAATAAGACTATAAATCAGGTTAATCTGGTTTTCTTCTTGCAATCCGCTTACATAACCACTAATCGTTTCGTAACTTGATTTCGATTTCAGGCAAAGTTAAAAAAAATTGAATGAATGAATGACACACGACAGTGCCAGAAGCACATGCTGCCATTTTTTAGATTAATATTAAAATAATCTTCTCTTACCTCCTTTCCTCATCTTCCGATTTTATGTCAATACTTTCAGCTTTGATTAACATTTCCATCTCGTTAATATCGAATTCCTCGTCCAGGTTTTCAGTTTTAACCAATAAATCAAGTGAAGACGTATCTATTTGATTTTCTGTGGCTGAAGAAACAAAAGTACTTTCAATTTTTTCCTCTCCCTCTAAGAAATCTTTTAGGAAACTGTTGTGAGTACACAGAGAATCCAAGCATCGCTTACAAACAACGGGATCTTTGATGATATTCATATTCTACAAAGCAGTTTTATTAAATTACAAAATATGCATGTATTTAATATCCTTCATACCATTTCAGGAGCCAATTTCTGAATAGCTTCAAGTTCCACTTCATGTATGCACCTAAACTCACTTTCTACTGAGTGCATACACAATCGACATATTTTTTGACTGCAAGAAATATCAACTATCTCGCTTTTCTTTTCCAGCATGTATACTTCTCTTAAGTCGAGCTGCAACACTTTTTCGCTATCCACATAAGGAATAATTGTGTTATCGGTATTCAGACATGTTGACTTAAATTCTGATGCCGCATTTAGCTTTCTTCTGCAAACGTTACATATAACCTTGCTCTCGCCATCAGGTTTCTGAAAAATATGCAGCGTTAACCAAAAAGACAATAACTGTGACGTAAAATAACTATTAAATACTAAAAGTTCCTTACACTTGAGACTGTTAAGATCTAATCTATAATTCACTGACTTACCAATTTCAGCAAAAGACTATCTAGAATGTCTCTGATATTGCTGTCTATTACTTTAAAACTTTCATTGGTTATATATTTAAGGCAAAGATTACACGAAGAAGTTTCCTTAACATCAGTCATTGTTTTGTAACAATCTTATTTTGACTATGAAAAGAACACATACAAAAATATAATTCAGTCACTTCTAGTTCTAACCTAAAATTTCCGGCTTCTTTTGGTAGCATAGACCATAGAATCTATTTGTAGTTTGTGGTTAGTAATGGAGCTGGGAGAAACGACACTTTCACTCAGAGCAGTACAGAAAGCCTACGTAATAGTGCCTAGTGAGCCGGATCAGAGTCGCCTCTACCATCTCTATTCTCCGTGGTCTGTGCTGTACTGTGTTGTACTGCCAGAAGACAAAAAGGTTAGAAGTGAAGGCATTATATTTTTGTCTCCGTGTTCTTTTTATACTCAAAATAAGATTGTTGAAGAGCAATGGCTGATGTTATGGAAACTTGGTGCAGGCTTTGCCATAAAAATATAACCGATGAAAGTTTTGAAGTGATAGACAACAGTACTAGGGACATTCTAGATGTTCTTTTGCTGAAATTGGTAAGTCAGTAGTGAAATATAATTAGATTACGTCTTAACAGTCTCAATTGTAAAGTAACTTTTTACGTTTAATTGTTATTTTACGTCACAGTTATTTTTTTTTCGGGTTAAAGTATATTTTTCAGGAATTTGATAACGAGAAAAAAGAGGTTATATGTAACGCTTGTAGAAGAAAGTTAAATGCGGCGTTAGACTTTAGGTCAACATGTCTGAATACCGATAAGACAATTATTCCTTATGTCGATGGCAAGAAAATGTTACAGCTCGACTTAAGAGAAGTGTACATGCAGGAAAAGAAAAGTGAATTAAATTGCAGTCAGAAAATATGTCGATTGTGTATGCACCCAGTAGAAAGTGAGTTTAGGTGCATACGTGAAGTGCAACTTGAAGCTATTCAGAAATTGGCTCCCGAAATGGTATAAACCGTATTAAATAATTGTATATTTTGTAATTTAACAAAATTGCTTTGTAGGATATAAATATCATCAAAGATCCTGTTGTGTGTAAGCAATGCTTGTATTCTCTGTGTACTCACAATAGTTTCCTAAATGACTGCTCAAAGGTAGAAGAAAGAAAAAGTATTTTTGGTAGTTCAGCCACAGGAAGTCAAATAGATACGTCTCCACTTGATTTATTGGTTAAAACTGAAAACCTGGACAAGGAATTTGATATTAACGAGATGGAAATGTCGATCAAACCTGAATATGTGGACATAAAATCGGAAGATGAGGAAAGGAGGTAAGAGAAGACTATTTTAACATTAATTTAAAAAATGGCAGTCCGTGGTCCTGATGCCGTTGTGATTTATATGATTAAATACGTACCGTACCATTTGGTGATAAAACTAACTTTAACAAATTATGCGATTTTGTCAGTTATAAACGGTATATTGTACAAATTTTTATACAATCATAAAAAGTTAGGTTAAGTTACTGGTAAAAAATTTAAGATCATTATTAAACATAAACAATCAGTATTGCTTTAAATCAGATATGGTACAATGAATGCTATACTAGATTCTATACATTCATAATTTTTTTTATCTTTAGCCAGAAATCGAAATTTTCTTGGAACAAAAAGGATAGATCTCACTAAGCTACAAAACAATTAGTAGTTATGTAAGCGGATTGTGAGAAGAAAACCAGATTAGCCTGATTTATACACGTATTAAATCATTCTTACAGAAAATTAATTTTTATGCTAATTCAAATTACAAAATATCCTCTAAATATTCTTATCAATTGAAGTCTAACAATATTATTCGATACCAGAAATTATTCGATATATTATAAATTATTCGATATCAGAAATGCAAAAGGTGTCTTAAATTCATAGACAAGATTCTTAACAGTTGATATTGCAGGAAACGACTATTTCGTGGGCTGCGTACCCCGACTGGCATCGAATATACCACAGCGATTTCTAGTAATAAATAGTTATACATAATAAATACTAGAAATGATTGGACTAAATGTGTATGGTTAATACGAAAACTCATACGTGATACATTGAAATAAAATTGTTAAATAATCATTCACAGAAGTATTTTGTATTTTTTGCTCTTTCATTCCTTTTGACAAAGATGAACACTAAAATATAACAGCTACTACTATCCATATTTTTTTTCATACTATAAGTTTTCTTAAAAAAATTTTTTTGAGGTCATACCTGTTTATATGCGTAGCTGAACCCGGCATTTTTTCTGCTGAACGTGATTTTTATCATTAATTGTTATAAACAAAGTATACAAACAATTTCAGCTGTAGCACTATTAATTTTTTTTACATTTCTCAAGGCGAGTAGAGGCTATATTACTTTCACCTCCTAAAAACCAGCAGCTGAAGTTTGTTTCGTGTATGTACCATGAAAGGTCTTACACATGAATGAAAATCAGCCTTGGTACTATTAGTCACTAAAATGTACCGCATGCTCTCTGTCTATTAGTACTTTTGTTGATTATATTATGGTCAAGAATAACCTTGTAAGGAAAAACAGGATAATCGTTAGATTTTAGTATTTACTTCAATTGACGAGTATCCTTATTTGAATTTTGTTGTGTGTGACAATTCAAAAAACGACTATAACTCACAGGTTTAAAGTACTATGGTTTTGTATACCTGGTGATTGCCAGCTACCGATTTACCAAAATGTCAAACAACAAGTTACTATCACTTTTAATAATACATAATTCAATCAAGTCTGACAGTGATGACGATAGAAATCAGAGCAGCACTGAATTGTTCCGCTGATACAAATGTATAATTAATAATAATCACATCACATTAACTTAAAATGTAAATATGGCGTTTATTGGAATAATCTTTTGTTAAAAGCAGTATTTTGGCATATGTCACCTATAACCCCTTAAAATTAAAATTTGATTTTTGAAAATACCTTGTATATGCAATTTTTTCAGCAACTTGCCACTACAGAGCTCCTATATTGTACCATTCGAAGAGAGTGACTGTAAAGATGAAGTAGAGGATGGATGTAAACACGAGAATCGATCAGATGTGAAAACCAAGCAGGAACACCAAGTATTATACAATTGTGATAAATGTATTTATGAAACTGGATGTGAGATCCATTTTACGGCACACTGTGCGAGACACAAGTACGATTCAAAAGTGTATAAATGTGAATCGTGTGAGTACGAAACTGAAAATAAAAAATTACTTCAGAGACACCTGTTGAGGCATAAAGACCCTTCAAAGGTTCAAACGTACAGGTGTAACGACTGCGATTACAAAACTGTATACAAGAGTCATATCAAGCTTCACCAACCGAAACATAAAGATCCTTTACAGATTCAGATGTACAGGTGTAATGACTGCAATTACGAAACCAAGTACAGCAATCATATGAAACGACACCAACTGAAGCATAAAGATCCTTCGCAGGTGAAAATGTACAGGTGTAACGACTGCGATTACAAAACTGCATACAAAAGTTACATCAAACAGCACCAACTGAAACACAAAGAACCCTCACAGGTTCAAATGTACAAGTGCAACGACTGCGATTATGAAAGTAAATACAAGAATACTATGAAAAGGCACCAACTGAAACACAAGGATCCTTTACTGGTTCAAATGTACAAGTGTAATGACTGCGATTACAAAACTATATACAAGAGTCGCATCAAATTGCACCAACTGAAACATAAAGATCCTTCACAGGTTCAAATGTACAGGTGTAATACCTGCAATTACGAAACTAAATACAAATATGATATCAAGCATCACCAACTGAAACATAAAGATTCTTCACAAGTTCAAATGTACAGGTGTAACGACTGCGATTTCAAAACTAAATACAAAAATGTTATGAAAAAACATCAACTGATACATAAAGATCCTTCACAGATGAAATTGTACAGGTGTAACGACTGCACATATGAAACTAAATACAAATATGATATCAAACATCACCAACTGAGACATAAAGGTCTTTCTCAGGTGAATATGTACAGGTGTAACGACTGCAATTACAAAACTGTATACAAGGGTCATATCAAACAGCATCAACTGAAACATAAAGATCCTTCACAAGTTCAAATGTACAGGTGTAAAGACTGCACATACGAAACTAAATACAAATGTATTATCAAAAGGCACCAATTGAAACATAAAGATCTTTCGCAGGTGAAAATGTAGAGATGTAACCACTATCGAACAGCATCAACTACAACAGGAAGAGCCTTCTCAGGTTCAAATGTACAGGTGTAATGACTGATTTGGAAAGTAAATTAAAGGGTAATATCAAACGTTATCAACTGCATTGAAATAAATCGGTTGAAACATGAAGACCTGACCAAAACGGAGGCCGACAAGTGATTTTGGACTAGCATTTGTAGAATTCACTAATACCTAATTATGTCTACACTTTCTATTTCTCACTATGTGATAGTCTGCTAAGTGTATTCATTAGTTTTAAAAAACGATATTGTAACTATGTAGAATATGTAATTAATTGAAGGGTCTAATGTAAAATAAATGTGCATGATTTTAGAATAATAGAAAGTTGTTGATGTCACTGTCACATTTGTGGGTTGGGAGATCAACTATACAGGGCGTCTCAATTTCAATCTCTTAAACTTGGTGTACGTTACATTGGGTCAAGTTTCTATAAAAAAGCGTAACATCAAAATTGTTGAGCGGAGATAGTGGGGATAGCGTCATTGAGAAGGTCAGGATTTCGATAACAATGAATATTATGCACATTCGATAAGATCACTTATTTTTTTATTCTAAAATGAATTTATTACACAGTTGGAATAAATCGGCAAAGATTCTAAAACTGTTGTTTTTTTTTTGTCAATAAAAGAAAAGCGTATTGGAATATTTTGTTTTTGTTGTTTGTAATACAGTTTTGAATGCAATCTAGTAATCATTAAAAGTACGGAAGATTCAATATTTGATACAAAAAGTAGATATTACAAACAGCATGAAATTCATATGGCCTGCACATAACAAATTTCTCAATAGAATAATAAACTAAATATTTTATAATACTAGTTAAACAAAAAATATTTAATATCTTCTACCTAATTTAAAATAGGATGTGCGAACGCAACAGGTAGTATTCCTTCTCGTACGGAATTAATAAATATTGATTGAAAAAAATTATATACTGGCTTCGAACTCTTAGAAAAATTCTATTTTGAAACAACAGTATCAAAAGCTTTGAATATGAGTAGATCGATTATAATTGTTTTTTTATCCAATTTTTATTTAATTTCTCTTAAAAAAGATATATTTTATTATTTACTCAAGTATTTTTTACTCTGCCCAAATCCACATTTTTTTTATCTTATCGAATGAATCGAGTAGTGTCCTTCGATACTAGAATTCTAGGAATGCGTAAAACAAACATCGTTTGACTTGATTTGACCAGATTTAAAAAAATTGAATTTGTTTGAATTAGCTTTAAAATAGAGCATAAAATGCGAGAACTAATAAAAAAAAATTTAATAAAAAGGGCAAATATTTTTTTTCAAAATGTCCTTTTTTGTAAAGGTTTGATGTTTGTTTATAATTTTTTTCTGTTAATAAATATTTCCATATGTTTCTTACGTAATTAATCTTTATCAAGGACTAGTAAGAATACTGCTTATTTCTTTGAATGATTGCATTATTCAATTTCAATACAACAGGTGCGTGTTTTTGAGTTAAATATATATAGACACATTATTTCCAGTTTTTATTCGGATAATTATTTATTAGTAGCCGCCTAGGTATTGTCGTGGTATAATGCAGTGCTAGTTGAGGCATGTACACTGGAGTAGTTGTTTCGAAGTAGTTTACTAAGTAGTTTAATGTTATTCAATGCAGTAATACAACACAGTGCAACTTAATTCTGCATAATGTGACGTAATGCGAACCGAAATATACCAGTAAAAATTCGAAAGGTAAAACACGTTGAAAAACAAAAGAAGCTGAGGTTCTGGGTGTTATTATTTGATTAAGATTTAATAAATTTATTAATAATGCAATTGTAGATTGTATTTAAATCATCTGTTTCTGACAATTTGTTTATGTACTTATTGTAAGAGCCTTAAATACCTTTCTTGAAATTGAAATTATAATTATGTTATTACTATTACTACTATTGATTGAACTATTGTTAACATTGTGAAGGGAAACAGGATAATCGTTAGATTTTAGCTTTTGCTTAAATTAACGAGTATTCTTGTTGTGGTTCTCCTTAATATTTGAATTTTGTTGTTTGTGACATTCATAATTTCTAACTTCTGTCATAAGGGGTATAAGACGAATGACAATTCAAAAGCCTATCAGAATTAATAGGTTTAAAGTACGATGGTTTTTCCGGTTGTTATGCCGCAGCAAATGTACCTGTTGGCTGCCTGCTGTAGACTTACATTGCCAAAATGTCCCAACTGTTTCATCTGAATTTCTTATTAATAAAATGCCCAAAAACAAAGTTCCTTGTCTTACTCCCAACTTTATTAATTCTTATTACCCTGTTTGAACAGCATGAAAATTATTTCACTAAACTTAAAACCTGATTTTCAAAAATACCCTGTATATGCAATTTTTTCAGCAACAAGCCACTGCCCGATATTGTGCCATTTGAAGAGAGTGACTGTAAATATGAAGAAGAGGATGGATATAAACGTGAGAATGGGTCAGAAGTGAAAACCAAGCAGGAGCACAAAGTATTGTATAAATGTGAGAAATGTATTTACGAAACTGGAAGTGAGATGCATTTTACAGCACACTGTGCGAGACACGAGAACGATTCGGAAGCATATAAATATGAATTGTGTGAATATAACACTAAAAATAATTCATTACTTCAGAGGCACCTGTTGAGGCATAAAGATCCATCTCAGGTTCAAATGTACAAGTGTAAAGACTGCGATTATGAAAGTAAATACAAAGGTTATATCAAACGGCACCAACTGAGGCATAAAGATCCACAGGTTCAAATGTACAAGTGTAACGACTGCGATTACGACAATAAACACAAGAATGTTGTCAAAATACATCAACTGACACATAAAAATCCTTCAAAGGTTCAAATGTACAAGTGTAACAATTGCGATTTTAAAACTAAATACAACAATGACGCCAAACGACACCAACTGATACATAAAGACCCTTCACAGATTCAAATGTACAAGTGTAACAGCTGCACGTATGAAACTAAACACAAGAGAAATATGAAACGTCACGAACTGAAGCATAAAGATCCTTCGAAGGTTCAAATGTATAGGTGTAAGGACTGCAATTTTGAAACTAAATACAAAGTTCATATGGAACGGCATCAACTGAAACATAAAGAGCCTTCACAGGTTCAAATGTACAAGTGTAAAGACTGCGATTACAAGACTAAACACAAGGATGTTATCAAAACGCACCAACTGAAACATAAAGATCCTTCACTGGTTCAAATGTACAAGTGTAAAGACTGCGATTACGAAACTAAATACAAGAGATACATCAAACAGCACCAACTGAAGCATAAAGATTCTTGGCAGGTACAAATGTACAATTGTAAAGACTGCGATTACGAAACTAAATACAAGAGATACATCAAACAGCACCAACTGAAGCATAAAGATTCTTTGCAGGTTCAAATGTACAGGTGTAACATCTGCGATTATGAAACTAAATACAGGAGTAATATCAAACATCACCAACTGAAACATAAAGATCCTTCTCAGGTGAAAATGTACAGGTGTAACGACTGCAATTACAAATCTGTATACAAGGGTCATATCAAACAGCACCAACTGAAACATAAAGATCCTTCACAGGTTCAAATGTACAGGTGTAACGACTGCACATACGAAACTAAATACAAGAGTGCTATAAAACACCACCAACTGAAGCATGAAGATCCTTCGCAGGTTCAAATGTACAGGTGTAAAGACTGCACATACGAAACTAAATACAAATGTATTATCAAAAGGCACCAATTGAAACATAAAGATCCTTCGCAGGTGAAAATGTAGCCACTATCGCACAGCTTCAACTGCAACAGAAAGAGCCTTCGCAGGTTCAAATGTTCAGGTGTAATGACTGATTTGGAAAGTAAATTAAGGGTAATATCAATCGTTATCAACTGCATTGAAATAAATCGGTTGAAACACGAAGACCTGACCGAAACAGAGGCCGACAAGTCATTTTGGACTAGCATTTGTACAATTCACTAATACCTAATTATGTCTACACTTTCCGTTTCTCACTATGTGATAGTCCGCTAAGCGTATGCGTTAGTTTTAAACAGCGATATTGTCAACTGTGTAAAACGTGTAATTAATTGAAGTGTCTAATGTAAAATAAATGTGTGTGATTTTTATAATAGAAAGTTGTTGACTTCACTGTCACATTTGTGGGTTTAGAGATCATCTATACAGAGCGTCCCAATTTCATTCTCTTAAACTTTAGGAGCAGATAGAACCAGTAATGGTGGTACTTTGTCAACATTTACTTCCAAATCTCCGCCATTTTGGAAGTAGTAGGGATATTTGAATTAAACTTGGTGTACGTTACATTGGATTAAGTTTCTTTAAAATAACGTAACATCAAAATTGTTGAGCGGAGATAGTGGGGATAGGGTCATTAAGAAGGTCAGGATTTCGATAACAATTAATATTATGCACATTCGATAAGATCACTTATTTTTTTATTCTAAAATGAATTTATTACACAGTTGGAATAAATCGGTAAAGATTCTAAAACTGTTGGCTTTTTTGTCAATAAAAAAAGCGTATTGGAATATTTTGTCACAAATACAGTCTTGAATGCAATCTAGTAATGATTAAAAGTACGGAAGATTCAATATTTGATACAAAAAGTAGATATTACAAACAGCATGAAATTCATATGGCCAGCACGTAACAAATTTTCCAATAGGATAATTAACTAAATATTTTATAATACTAATTAAACAAAGAATATTTAATATCTTCTAACTAATTTTAAATAGGATATGCGAACGCAACAGGTAGTATTCCTTCTCGTACGGAATTAATAAATATTGATTGAAAAAAATTATATACTCGCCTCGAACTCTGAGAAAAAATTCCGTTTTGAAACGACAGTATCAAAAGCTTTGAATATGAGTATATGCATTGTAATTGTTTTTTATCCAATTTTTATTTAATTTCTCTTAAAAAAGATATATTTTATTATTTACTCAAGTATTTTTACTTTGCCCAAATCCACATTTTTTTATCTTATCGAATGAATCGAATAGTGTCCTTCGATACTAGAACTCTAGGAATGCGTAAAACAAACATCGTTTGACTTGATTTGACCAGATTTAAAAAAAATTGAATTTGAATTAGCTTTAAAATAGAGCATAAAATGCGAGAACTAATAATTAAAAAAAAAATTAATAAAAAGGGCAAATATTTTTTTTCAAAATGTCCTTTTTTGTAAAGATTTGATGTTTGTTTATAATTTTTTTCTGTTAATAAATATTTCCATACATTTCTTACGTAATTAATCTTTATCAAGGACCAGTAAGAATACTGCTTATTTCTTTGAATGATTAAATTATTCAATGTCAATACAACAGGTGCGTGTTTTTGAGTTAAATATATATAGACACATTCTTTCCAGTTTTTATTCGGATAATTATTTATTAGTAGCCGCCTAGGTACTGTCGTGGTATAATGCAGTGCTAGTTGAGGCTTGTAGACTGGAGTAGTTGTTTCCCGCATTGTCAGCAATTAAGAGTCTTGTCGATGGAATTAGATATCTTTTGCATAGATTTCTGGTACCGAAGAACGTTGTTTGACTTCATTTGAATTAGCTAATATCTCTAAAATAGACTACGCTCTGTATTGTGACCATAATTGGTAACTTAGCAGGATTGGAAATAAAAATAATCAAATACATAGGTTTTAATTTTTAAAGTTGGAACTAGATAAACTCGTTTGGATCAATGAAGGGCTAAAGAAATTATATAGATATTCCTACGGCCTACGTAAGCCAAAGGTAGTAATCTTTTTTTCATTAAGCAATCAAATTGACTTTAGAATTTAGGTGCTAACCTGGATATTAGCATAATTAACTGTAATAAGCTTGATGTGACGCTTAGACAAATTTTCCCTAATGTACTTATTCACGTTGACAAACAAAAGAAACTGATGTACTGGGTGTTATTATTTGATTAAGATTTAATAAATTTATTAATAATGCAATTGTAGATTGTATTTAAGTCATCTGTTTCTGTCATTTTGTTTATGTACTTATTGTATGACTATATATAGCCTTAAATGCGTTTTTTGATAATTCCTTATTAAAGATCTGAATCGGTTCGTTATTGAAATTAAAATTATGTTATTACTATTATGTACTATCCTTGATTGAACTATTGTTAACATTGTGAAGGGAAACAGGATAATCTTTAGATTTTAGCTTTTGCTTAAATTAACGAGTATTCTTGTTGTGGTCCTCCTTAATATTTGAATTTTGTTGTTTGTAACATTCATAATTTCTATCTTCTGTCATAAGGGGTAAGAGAAATGACAATTCAAAAGCGTACCAGAACTAATAGGTTTAAAGTACGATGGTTTTTTCGGTTGTTATGCCGCAGCAAATGTACCTGTTGGCTGCCTGGTGTAGACTACTTACATTGCCAAAATATCGCAACTGTTTCATCTGAATTTATTATTAATAAAATACCCAAATACAAAGTTCCTTGTCTTACTCCCAATGTCATTATTTCTTATTACTCTGTTTGAACAGCATGAAAATTATTTCACTAAACTTAAAACCTGATTTTCAAAAATACCCTGTATATGCAATTTTTTCAGCAACAAGCCACTGCCCGATATTGTACCATTCGAAGAGAGTGACTGTAAATATGAAGAAGAGGATGGATGTAAACGTGAGAGTGGATCAGAAGTGAAAACCAAGCAGAAGCACAAAGTATTGTACAAATGTGATAATTGCATTTACGAAACTGAAAGTGTGATTTGTTTTACGGCACACTGTGCGAGACACGAGAACGATTCGGAAGCATATAAATGTGAATCGTGTGAATATAACACTAAAAATAAGACATTACTTCAGAGGCACCTGTTGAGGCATAAAGATCCATCGCAGGTTCAAATGTACAAGTGTGAAGACTGCGATTACGAAAGTAAATACAAAGGATATATCAAACGGCACCAACTGAGGCATAAAGATCCACAGGTTCAAATGTACAAGTGTAACGACTGCGATTACGAAACGAAACACAAGCATGTTGTCAAAATACATCAACTGACACATAAAAACCCTTCACAGCTTCAAATGTACAAGTGTAACCATTGCGATTTTAAAACTAAATACAACAAAGACGCCAAACGACACCAACTGATACATAAAGACCCTTCACAGATTCAAATGTACAAGTGTAACAGCTGCACGTATGAAACTAAACACAAGAGAAATATGAAACGTCACGAACTGAAGCATAAAGATCCTTCGCAGGTTCAAATGTACAGGTGTAAAGACTGCGATTACGAAACTAAATACAAGGGTTATATCAAACAGCACCAACTGAAGCATAAAGATCCCCAGCAAGTTTGGATATTCAGCTGTAACGATTGCGATTACCAAACTGAATACAATAAGAATACTGTCAAAAATACGAATGCACAAGCAAGCGTAAGGAGTCTTCACGGAGACCCCAATTGATACACAAAATAAGTTCACAAGTGTGAATTACCACCCCTCCTCCGTTGTGCAAAATATTGTTAGAAATTGAGGAATTTAAGAGCGACCAAGTGTGGATATGACAAAATTCATAAATATCTGAATACAAAGAAAATGTAGCGCCTGTCTTGAAATATGTCGATTGAAATACGAAAAGCTGACCGAAATGGAAGCTAACAAGCGATTTTGGATTAGCTTTTGTTGAATTTGCTAATACGTAGTTATGTCCACACTTTCCGGTTTCTCGCAATGTAACAGTCTGCTAATTGACAAACAGTTCATAACTTCGACAAGTTATATGTTAAATGTGTATTTTAAATTTAAACAGGGATATTGTCAACTGTGTAAAGCATGTAATTAATAAAAATACACAATATACACATTTTTGAATAACAATAACAATACAATTTATACACACATACGTACATATTACAATGCAAAAAATACAAACTAAGAAGTGTGGGGTAAGGACAAACAATTTTTTTTGATATGTTTAACATTTGAATTAAATACAGGGTGGTCAAATGAAAACGAAACAGAGCCTTTTTCAGGAACTGCGTCAAGATTGTAGAAAAACGCTCAGACCCATTGATTTTAGATTAAAAGAGGACATTCTTTGCTGGTAATTTTGACTCCGCCACTTTCACCCCCAAGCAAGGGTAAGCATCACCCCAATATATTTAAATGGCACTGGGGGGTTGAGTAATATTTCTTTTGAAAGCTCTTACAATTCTCTTTACAACTGACTTTAAATTTTATAATTCCATCCAATATTTTGAAAAAAAATTACATTTTAAAATTTAAATTATGTTCAGTTCCTTACTTACTACTTAGTTGATTAAATGTTCAAACTGATGACCGCCCGCTTCCATACAAGAATAAAGATTTTGGTTGAAACGTTCATTCTGTTTTTCAATTTCTCGTTTTTTATTAGATACGTTTCCTACGTTGAAATTTTTTTACAAACTCTAAAACATACATCCTCCTGACATGTCGATCTTGATGTTGTTCATTAAATAGCTGAGCTTTTTCTACAATCTTGACGCAGTTCCTGAAAATGGCTCTGTTTCGTTTTCATTTGGCCACCCTGTATATCTATAAAAGTGTACAGTAGATCATAACATCTACACATCTTGTAGAAAGGAGAATAACGTAAAATATTACTGTTGGCTGTTTTTAACTAGAACATTTTAAACTCTTTATTTTGATTTCTGAAGGTTTTAGGTATGATGAAATTTATTCTATGTAATAAATCGGATATTGGTTTGTGAGAATTTTAATTAGCAGGCCTTCATGCCAAACCGTATCGAAGCCTTCATACCGATTACTCCAAAAATAAATTATAAATTGCTCAGAAAATAAGAGAAAAAAGATACATTTTAAAGAGTGAACTAGTGCAGTGGATAGTGATTATTTAGAATTTTGTTTCAATTAGATATCAGTAAAGTATTAAAAGGTTGGTATCGATACTAAAATTTACTTGGTATCGAAAAGAAACACCGATATTTGTTTCGCATCAGTTGTATCGGAACATTCCTAACTAGAGATGAGTAATCCAGTTCAATTCAATTTGCTGAGCCCGATAACAGGTTCCGGATCCGCGTATACAGCGGCCTCAGTTGAGATGAATTTGTCATAACTATTCCTTCCCTTCAGTACCCTGCAGCCCGTGTACCAGTCGAGTAAATGTACTGTGGAGCTCTTTTAATATTTATTTAGCAGACACATGAAATAAATTGTTTAGTAGAATTATGTATCATGTTTTATACAATTATATAATCTACTTCTTGTTGATTATTTATTAGCGATTGAAAAGATGTACAAAAATCTTGGAATATAATTTTATTTATTGATTGTTTCTTGAATTTATTTTCTTGTATTCAGTTCAATAAAAATTTGTTTCTCCCTCTTAATTATTGTTTGAGAAGGTGACGTATGATGCAAATCAGAAATATGGAGTAGGGAGAATGAGCGTCAACATGCCCAAACAAAAATATAAATAACCTCAAAAAACACCTGCGAATCTAACGTCAACAACTGCGTGACGTAAAAGCCTTCAAAATGGCTGCGCGCGTAGCGACCTTAGAAATGTGGATGTGCACTCGTCGAAGCTCATTCTCCTCTACTCCTACTCCATATCTCTGATGCAAATACATCCGACACCTGCACAGTTTGAATTGAATTCTCTTTGAGAAGAAACCTGGAACAGGTTCACCCGGATCAGTACGAGTACGGAGAACCGCTGTGTGTCGGATCAGTGTCGTTTCTCCTATTCCCATCTCTATTCCTAACCACAACTAGCTCTATGCTGCCACTGCTGCCAGTGCCAGAAGAAACTAATAAGGTTAGAAGTGACGGCATTATATTTTTGTCTCTGTGTTCTTTTTATACTCGAAATAAGATTGTTGAAGAGCAATGGCTGATGTTAAGGAAACTTCTTGTAGCCTTTGCCTTAAAAATATAACCGATGAAAGGTTTGAAGTGATAGACAACAGTATTAGGGACATTTTAGATGTTCTTTTGCTGAAACTGGTAAGTCAATAGTGAAATATAATTAGATTACGTCTTAACAGTTTCATGTGTAAAGCAACTTTTAGTATTTAACTGTTGTTTTCTGCTACACTTGTTTTCTATCTGTTTAAAGTTGCATATTTTTCAGAAATTTGATAACGAGAGCAGAGAGGTTCTGTGTAACGTTTGCAGAAGAAAGTTAAATGAGGCGTCAGAATTTAAGTCGACTTGTCTGAATACCGATAACACAATTATTCCTTATGTGGATAGCGAAAAAATGTTACAGCTGGACCTACGAGATGTGTACATGCAAGAAATGAAAAGCGAGTTAGTTTATATTTCTTGCAGTCAGAAAATATGTCGACTGTGTATGCACCCAGTAGAAAGGGAGTTTAGGTGCATACGTGAAGTGGAACTTGAAGCTATTGAGAAATTGGCTCCTGAAATGGTATCAATGCTATTAAATACTTGCATATTTTGTAATTTAACAAAACTGCTTTGTAGAATATGAATATCATCAAAGATCCCGTTGTATGTAAGCCATGCTTGGATTCTCTGTGTACTCACAACAGTTTCCTAAAAGATTGTTCAGAGGTAGAGGAAAAAATTAAAAGTATTTTTGATAGTTCAGCCACAGACAATCAAATAAATACATATTCTCTTGATTTATTGGTTAAGACTAAAAACTCGGACAAAGAATTCGATATTAATGAGATGGAAATGTCAATCAAGGCTGAAAGTATCGACATAAAGTCGGAAGATGAGGAAAGGAGGTAAGAGAAGACCATTTTAACATTAATTTAAAAAATGACAGCCTTTGGTCTTGACATGTGATTAAATACGCGATAAACTATTTATTGTAACAAATTATGTCAGTTGTAAAGGGTATTGTAGAAATTTTGAAATGATCATCAAAAGTTAGGTTGACAAATTATTAAGTTTTTGGGACAGTAAGCTTTGGTATCTCAACGGGTACAGAAAATCCATATATATTTTCTGAATGTAACTTCCATTGCTACTCGTATATTAGTCAATGAGGTAGAGCTTGTAGGCTTTGGTGTTTGTGTTTGAAGTCTTCTATTCTGTTGTACAGAAAAATCCCAAATATTATGTAAAATAAGAATTCTAGTTTACCTATTCCAAACACAACCATTTAGTCCAACCAAATTACACTTGGAGAAAAAAAATTTTTACCTGTACTTTTATAAGTGGAAACGGTAAAGGGGCTTATAATCTAAAAAAAATAAATGCGTGAGCAGGGGCGGCGGAGGTTTTATTTGGGGGGTTGAAAAGTTATGAAAAATTGTATCATTGGGATTTCTGGCGAAAGTTGACGTCAAAAAAAAAAGTATCCAATACAACTGTTGTAGATCATACAAAAATCTACAACTTTTGTAGAGGTCACTTTTTAACATAACCTTAAAATTTCCGAGAAAAGTGGGAAAAACAGGTTTTTTCTGATTTTTCGTTTTTTATGTCTCATTTCCGCAAAAATTATTTAATTTTGACGAAACTTGGTGAAAGTATACCTTTCTCTGTCTTAAATAACCTCAAATTTTTTTAGATAAAAAAATCAAGGAGTTTCTGAGATATTAATTTTTTCGGCCTGAAACACTTTTTCTTCAAAGAGAAATTCTACTTCAAAAAATAATCGTACAGAGTTCTGCCGGTAATAATTTTTTTTGTTTTGACATATACTTTTTGGTGAAATAAAAAAATCTGTAATAACATTTCAAAAACATGCCCAAAAATGCAAACAAATACAAATTTACTTGCAACAATGAATTTTTCAGTTATTATTGATAATTTGTTTACATTAAAAAACATTCAAAAACTGATTACACCATTCAATTCTACGGAAAAAAATAAAAAAAACTGTCTCATTGACCCAAAATTTTATTTTTGTACAGTATTGCTATAAATATCTATGTCGAATTACAAATGCACAAATTATAAATTATCTCTGGATGATTTGAGATTCCAGCATGTGCAAAACCGTACTTATCTTATCAACTTCCACGTCACCTGCTACATGGGTGTTGTATAACAATGAAAAAGTAATATTAACGGTCGATAGAAGGAAGCACAAAAAACAAGCACTTAGGTAGAAAATTCTGGAAGGAAGCCTAAATAGTTAGTTGAAGATAGGCAGTTGAAGTGAGAACAGTGTGCAGATAGGTAGCAAGACGATCGACGGGCAGTGTGACAAAGTAGTGTAAAATTAATTGTTTAAAGTGTTATTAGTTAGCAGGTAATATTCTTTAAGTACTTTGTTGTTAATTGTTCTATATAATCTTATGATTGTGATGGTTATAGATGTTTCATGATAATAATTCTTTGTATGTTTAGCTTTCATTGTTTTATGCTCAGGGGCGTATATTTTCCTAACGTAAGATTGTTACAATTGTTATTAACGATTGCCCATTATTTATTACATGTTAAAATATATATGTGCATATATATATATTCGTATAGATATAACTACTTCTTTGTTTCACATCTAACTTGTTTTTGTCACGATTACGTTATACGTAAAATATAGATGTTTCATGATAATAATTCTGTATATGTTTAGCCTTCATTGTCTTACGCTCAGGGGCGTATATTTTTCTAATATAAAATTGTTACAATTATTATTATAGATTGCTCATTATTTATTACATGTTAAAATATGTATATTGTCGTGACTGCCCAGATATTGCATTAACGACCTCTTTGTTTCACATTTAACTTGTTTTATCATGATTAAGTTGTTCTTTGATTTCTTGTGCTCACTTTATGTCATACGTCTATACGAGCCTTGTTGAGTTTACTAACATTTTCGCCCGTGCGGAACGAATCTGGATT